TCCCGAGGACAAGAACACCAAGGAGGCGGAGAGTTGGCTGGAGCAGCTGACGCAGAACGCCGTGTCCATTGCCAAGCACGCAAAGGACGCACAGGCAAGGCGTCTCCGCGCCGGGATTCGCTTCACGCCCAAGGGTGTGCCCTACCAGGCCTCCTCTACGGCCCCGAGCGTGTCGAGCGGACCAGCTAATGTCAGCCCGCAGCTGGGCGGTTCGTCGCAGATGGACTCACGTAGCATCGACGAACTGATCAAGTTTATTGAGGGCACCGACCAACAAAGCAAGCCCAAGGGAAGGCCGAGTAGGGGTAACCCCAAACGGAGGGGCAAGTCTTCCAAGTAAATCTGAAGAATACCAAGACCAAGGAGTACTTGCACTTGACCGTCGACGTGTCAGAGCTTCCGGCCAACAGTCGCCTGGGGATCGCCTTTGACGCTGCAACTACCCAGCACACCTAGTGTCGAGAGACTCTACTATGATGACGCCGGAGCATGTGTATTTTATATAGAATTGGATGGGCATGGAAAAAAAGGGGGCGGTGCATCTGTGGATACTTCGACAAATATAGGCATGCGGAAAAGTAGCATGGGGGCAGAGCCCTTTAGAATAACACTATCTTCACTCTTCACGTGGTACGGTAAAACCTTAGCAAAAGTAAATGTGAGAGTCATCAAATTCATTTGTCTTGATACGAAATGCTATCCTATTTCTTCAAGGATGGCCATTCATGGCACTAGCTACGGACAATCCCCGACTCACAGGTGCATGGTACGACCCGATGCTCTGGAAACCCCTGCCGCTGTAGTCAGTACCAAATTCGGGGACGCTGAATAATGCATGGAATCACTTACTTTGCTAGATCAAAGCCTTGGTCCTCTTCGATCTCGGGGGGATTGGACGGCTCACTTGGCGCCTCTCGTGATGACTCCTTATGGTGAGATCGTGTGGGACTATTTGGCGACTTTACAGGAGGTGGACTGCTACTTTGCGGGATGCCGCCCAAGGAAGGCTTGGAAGGACTCATGTCGAAATGGGCGGCAGGTTTCAGGGGCGTGCTCCCAATGTCTGCGTACTTCCAGAACGGGGCTGGCGAGCTGGTAGGCATATGCTGACTAGGCCGTTGAGCAGTGCTCGGGGGAGCTAACCGAGGATGAACGCGGTGCGGCGCTGGCGTCACGAAGGACGTGTTTTCGTCTGGGAGGTAGGAGGAGGTCAGTGTGGGTGATTGATCATTGTAGCTGGTCGAGGTGAAGCTGTTTGCTGCAGAGGCGCCGCCACCTTTGCGTGGTCGCGGCAGAGGGCTGCCGTCGATAGTCAACGCCGTGCTTGGAGGCGCAAGACGGCGTGTGCTGCGGTCCGGAGTAGACTGGACAGCAGCCAAAGATGAACTTGGTGGCGGCGATCCTGTCGCCGAGACTTTACGCTTTCGCCCTGACGCAGGCTCTCTAGCGTTCACGTCCCTTGGCCCGTGAGTGATGTAATTCAACTGACTAGGCGATGATGGGGCAGATGAACCTCTGTGGCCGCCTCGGCCACCCTTGTATGCGCTTCGAGTCATCTCCTCCCGAGCCTCTGGAACAATTTGCCACTTCATGCCCTTGCCAGGCTCGTCCGTGGATCTGGCAACCTTGTCAAAAGCCTTGTTCAGGGATAAGTTGTGACGGATGGAATTCTGTGGTAAAGTTAATCAATATCCAAGGGAAATCAGAGGTCAACACACCTGCCAACCAGCAGCCTGCTGGTGCCTGTAGTACGCGTAGTTGTTCATGATGAAGTTGTAGATACCGTTGAGGTTGAGTTTTCCCTCTGGTGTGTTTATGATCGCCTGGGTGATCATTTGCGCATAGCTATATTGGGGTTTTATATGCTTATTTTCGTCAAGGCTTAGGTCCAGATCATTCGAGTTCAGTAGTAATGTTCCAGAGCTCGAGTACTGTGGTGATTTGTGCTGCGAAGGCGTTGCCTTCCCGCGGATAGCAGAGGGAGGAGTGCCTGGCCTTTTATAGTCTGCTGGGGCTGGCGCAATCGGCTGGCGGAATTGCTGACCTCGGGAACTTCTGATGGTTGAGCCCAGCGCCGATGATGGTTCCTCCGGCAAGTCCGTCCTCGGCTGGGGTGGGCTTGCGATGTGCTGCCGCAACAGGCCGGCCCTCTTGAGGTAAAGGGAATCGATGTGAAGGGGGCTGATCTCGGTGGGCAGAACAAAGATCATTTCAGTGCCACCAACTTCTAGAACCTCGCCACCCTCTAGGCGACGCAGACTTCCTTGCTTGAGGCCGACGTTGTTCACTTTGACTCCATTTCTACCCTTGACCTCAAGATACCACACTTCCTCTTTAGAACTGAAGTAGATGCGGGCGTGCTGGCGCGAAATCATCTTACTCGGACCGAGGTCAATGTGAATAAATTCATCGTCGTCCTCAGTGACTCCCTCAGATGGGCGACCAATATTGACAATCAATTTGGTGATGTAGAACGTCCAGTCCTGTGCCGCGATCTTGGCGTAGGCCTGGACGCCACTTCCATTTGCTTCGTGTATCGAGTTCGCATGGTCTTTGCTAGCTTGGGCAGGACCTTCTTTGGGCACCTGGAAGTGTTGAACGACCTGGGCAAGTAGCTGATCATCGTCGCTTATGGGCTGGCCAGATTGGTCGGCAGTGAGGCTAGACTCGTCTTCGTCGGCGGGCTCGACAGGCAGGGGCTCGTCGACCTTGGGAAGTCAGGGTCAGCAGGGAATGAAACACGAATGGGTCAAGAAAGTCGTTAGACTACCTTCCTGCGCCGTTTGGCTGGTCGAGTAGGTGAGCTATCCTCTATTCTGGCAGGAGAGGTATCGCGGCGGGTGTCGCGACGGGTGCGCTGGGAGCGCTTCGCTGAGACGGGCATTGTGTAGAGGATTAAGCATGCGGCACCTCTGGATAAGAATGGCCAGAGCTGAGAGGAAGAGCAGGTCGCGCGTGAGGGAATAAACAATGGCGGAAGCGTAGATTCAAGTATTCGGTCTCAGACGTGTGAGGAATGAGGGGGCAAGGTCGTGTCTCGTCAACTCGTGAGGGCTGGGTCAAGTGGAAAGTTTGGGGGCAGACAAATGCCACAGAGAGGTAATGTTTCCTCAGTGAAGAGCGATAAGGAGGTTGAGGTTGTCTAAGGTTGATCTTTGTGGCCGTAGTCCTTTGCGGAAGAGCAAATCGGGTAGACACTGTAGGTAATTGGTGGTGTCGGTGGTGCGAGTGCAGAGCCAAGCGCACTGGTCCTGGTCGGGAGTGTACGTCCCTTGGAGTACGGCTAGAGGATCTCTTCGACGTCTTGTGTAGGATGACTCGAGGTCTGTGGCAAAATGAGATCGGGCTTCCGGGTCCAGTTCCCAATATCTGTGGCTTTAAGGGTAAGCAGATATGGTGGTAGCGTAGCAGTAGTTGGGAAAGTGGTGGGAGCTGAAGATGTCAGCAGGTCGGCTTGTACAAGGGTTTGAGATGTGATGATCGCGAATGTCGCGCGTCTTTTTTGGGGGAGGGCGTTTTAATTAAGTAAGACACTGTGTGGAGGGAAGGGAAGGAAACAGTGACGACGGCACCAACTGAATATTTGGGGAGGGGAACGGGGATCGGACAAGGAAGAAGAGGAGGAAAGGTACCTAAGTACTCCGTACCTGTGTGCAATTACGTGCATTTTGAAAAGTCGCGTCCCCTGGCATTGACCCGTGCTGTTCGTGTTTTCTGCTGCTGGCCTGTTTTTAATGTTTTCTTTGTCTTCCCAACCTTCCTTGATCTACTGGCTCCACCACTTCACGCGTACAGTGTTTACTGCAGCACAGTATCATGGTTTACAGTACGCTCCACATCAGTATTAATAAAAAAAAAAAAAAAAGGGTATTCTCTTCTAACATTTCATTGACCTTTGTTGCAACCTCAGCCCTTTCACTCCATGTGGGGCAGTAGTAAACCCACCTAGTCAGTATACACATCCGCCAACCTAAAATGTACTTGTCATTCTAGGCCTGGGGGGATGGACACACTTCAATATTTGTTGGGCAACACCTACAGCACTTAACAAATTTGAGTCCTCGCTTGTACTCTTGTGTCAAAAAGAGAGAGAGAGAGAGAGAGAGAGAGAGAGAGAGAGAGAGAGAGAGAGAGAGAGAGAGAGAGAGAGAGACGCACAACAGAACAGGACACATCATTCCTCATAGCTGGTGACTTTAGCCGACGCACCGATGCTTGACTCAAAGCTTTGGCTCATTTTGTATCTTGACCTAATAGCTTTTGGATCTAGGATTGGAACTTGCGATTGGACTCAAGTCAAGGGGGGGTAATCCGCTCTCACTCCTCACATTCCCTCCTCCCTCTTCCCTCCCTCGAATCCGGAGCTCTTCGTTGTGAGACAGCCCCTTTCCAGTGTTAGAAGGATGCTGCTGTTACCCTATCCTGACTTGCTTGGCTTGCCTGGCTTCCTTCACTCCCTTGATTTCAATCCATTGTAGGCACGAACACAACTCCATTCGCCCTTGTCGAACCGGACATCCGTTTCACGCGAAGACGCAATAGCAATGGTCAGGTTAGGATGAAGAAGTGCACCTGATGTTGGTCCTGATGGCCTAACCCCATCCCCCAGGCGAATGAAGACCCCTGGATTGTTGCTGGGTAGACGCGTTGAGCACTTACGCTGGGCGGCGATTCGGCCATCCGGCGCCCATTATCCTTGCCAAATAGGCAGGACGGGCCCGATGCCGTCACACTGTGATGCAGGACCGGCCCATGTTAATAGATCCGACCCCGCCCCCCACCCCCACCATGAAATCAAATTCTCGGCTTATTTTATGAAGGCCTAAACGGGCCCGGCCGACCTGTATCTAAACCGCCGTTCAATGCACTTCGCTCTTCGGAATCATCCGCTGCACCCCAGCTTGCTCGTTGGGCGTTGTTTGACTAACCTTGACTAGACCAGGTTTCCAACCTATGCTCAGCAACACGATCTTCGTAGAGTATCAACGCCGGAGAAAAAAATGCATGAAATCATCACCCTCCAGCTGGGTCAGCTGAGCAACTATGCAGCAACCCATTTCTGGAACACTCAGGTACCAACAAGGCTCAACACACATGGCATAGCCTGCTCTTACACCCCTGGTAGGAATCCTACTTCACCTACTCGGCCCAGGACGAGTCACCAGTGAACCATAATGTTCACTGGCGCCCTGGCGTGGCCCTCGATGGCTCCGAGACATTCCTCCCACGTACCGTTGTGTACGACCTCAAGGGTGGTTTCGGGTCGCTTCGCAAGATTAATGCCTTGTATGACGCAAGCCAGGAAGGGGCACCTGCTCATTTGTGGTCCGTCTCTTGCCCGCGTCATCTTCCTTGCCGTCGACAAGACTCCAACTACGACGACCACAATACTAACATATATACTCGAGCACAGGGAAGGATCCCCTCAAGTCCACAGGCAGCCACAGGTTGAAACGACTGCCTACCAGCAGAGCCTCGACTCTGGCACCACGGCACCCAAGCTCAAGCCGTCTGACGTCCGGTACTGGTCCGATTTCTGCCGAGTTTTTTACCACCCAAAATCTCTCAACCAGCTATACGACTATGAGCTCAACTCGTCCATTAGGCCGTTTGACAAGTGGGCGTTGGGAAGAGAGCTTTTTGACAACTTGGACAAGGAGCATGACATTGTTGACCGTGACTTCCGCCCATTTGTCGAGGAGGCCGACCAGATGCAGGGTCTTCAAATCGTGACGACTATCGACGATGCCTGGGGAGGCTTCGCAACCGAATACGTCGAGCGTCTACGAGACGAGTACGGCAAGGTCACTATTTGGGTCTGGGGCCTGCAGACTCCTATGCCTGCGGCAAGGATTGTAAGTACACCAAAGTCGTTTGCCGCGCCTCAGAATGCCCATAAGCCTAGCTGACTGAAACCAGGATCAGAAACGCCTCCAGATGACCAACACAGCAAGAACGATCAAGGACTTGAGCGAATACGCCTCCATGTTAGTCCCCATGGCCCTCCCGCAGACCCGGCTGCGCTCCAACATCCACATGGACCTGCAGTCCCCTTGGCATACCAGTGCTTTGCTAGACACCGCCATGGAAACCGCAGGCCTTCCTTCTCGGCTTAACTCTAGCAGCACTGGTAGTGGCTTGCAAGCAACACTGAGCGACCTAGTTAGTGGCCTGAACCTGCGCGGACGGCAAACCTTGAGTCGTCTGCAGATGAGCATTGTGGGCCCCTCTTCGGAATTAGCCACAGGAGCCCATGCACCAAAGAAATCTCTTGACAACAAGGAGAAAGAGGATGCCAAGCTGGACATTGACTTGTTTGATATCATGCGAGCGATGCCATCGACAGGGAGGCGGAACATAAACAGTGGTGGCGACAGTCCTCACCTCTTTGGTCAAATGATAACTAGCCGTGGTACGCCGCAAGTGTTGGATGACGGGGACCAAGGCGGACAACGGGCAAGAGCCGAGCTCGTGGAGACCAGTGTTCAAAGGTAATCAGATTGACACATATTGCCACCCATGGTAATGTTATTCATTACTGACACCATATGACAGATACCACACGGATAGGGGATTCCCCATGCTCGACAGCTTCCCTGAAATTTACCTTGATAGCAGTGGCGAGCCCTCTGGCGAGCCTTTCGGTGTCAAAACTAGCCTTTCCACGGATACGTCTGTATCGGTAGCCTTGAAAGCTTTGCGTACCGCCATTTCATCTTCCATTGGCGTCGAGGATCGAGAGGATGTCAGCAACGAGTTGGCTGACCTTGCCGAAGCATACCGGGAAGGTTGGTCGAGTGGTAGCGATGACTATGACGACTAAGTGCTTGTCTGCCTACACATCTATTGATCAAGTTAATTGAAAAGCCAGATCAAGTAAAAAAGGCAACGGAAGGCGACTACTTCTGCTGTGCCTAAGTTTCATCAGGCATTATCTGGCCTCACACGTTCTCCAGGCATCGGTTCATGTTGAATCAGCACCCCCGTTTTTACAGTACGGTAATGTGCCTGCCAGGCAGCGAGCCTCCAACTGCGATAAAGCGACCAAAGGGGAAGCAGGCAGGAATGTGAGATATGTTTAACTCTATTCTCTGAGCTTAATGGTATCTAATGTACATTGGATCCCGGGCATACCGAGGAATCTGCCCGTACCCGGTCAGGCCGGTCAGGCCGGTTAAGAATAGATTTGCCGCGCACACAAAGTGCATGCTCCTGTCGCAATCGGCTTGGGTGCCAGATATGTCCCTGAATCGCTCTTTAGTAGTCTCTGCTCTCCCCAGTGTCACTCAGAGCGAGCTAACCTCCAAGAGCAACCTACCAAGTCCACGATACGTACGAGTTTTTTTCATTCTTTTTTTTATATTTGTTTTCCAATGAAAACCCGACCGTGCAAGGGCTCGGAAGGTCTCGCACTGTCAAGCTGACAGAACTTACCCCTTGCCGAGTCATCGATGGTTTTGGTGGCCAGTCAAGCCAAGCTGGATGAAAACATCAATCTGGTATTGTTTATATGTTGGTCAGCAGATCAAAGGCAATCAAGTACGTTGCCAGGGCTATCAACACCACGGCAACACAATGGCAACATGGTGACCACATGCCATATGCTGGCATTTCATGCGATCTTGGGGCGGAGGTGTATGGGGTAATGTGCCCGAAAATATCAACCCGCAGCCGTAACGGAAGCTTGTTGACGTTTTGCGGGAGGCTGTGAGTTGTCCTATGTGATCTGTCAGTAAAACACTTTGTCGGGGACTCGGTCGCCTCGTGAAGAGCCCTCGGTGTGACCGTAAGCTCAACCCATGCAGTACCTCTGAAGCACTTCGTTTCTTGATCTGTGCTGCGCCGTTTGCATTCGCCTGTTTCTTTTGAGGCCTCTGGGGCTTTTTCTCACCCGGCTCGAAGACATCGTCAGGAAGGTTGAAGCTGGACTGCTTTTAGCTCACATCACCAAGGTATTGTTAACAACTAGGTTTGACCTACCTTCGCACATGTTGAACAGCTAAGCAATTCAATGTGGACTCGTACTTTTCCCATGTTGTACACAGCGTCTTGAAGTTTTCAACTTGATAGGACAAGTCGAGCGATTTCGCGCCTGTTGAGTCAGCTTTATTCCCAACATAGTCCGCGCCAGAGGAAGCCAGAACGGCCGACCATAGGCCACAGTATCGTCAGCGAAAACCTACCTTCGCTCAGCGTCAGCCCTATGTAGTGCGTGGTGGTAAACACCTCGATTGGTGGGGCCGTTTTGTCCCCCTGTTCCGACTTTACAACAGGGGCGAATGGAGTTTCTTGCATGTTGGCAGACGAACCGCCCTCCTCCTTAACCTCTGGTATCATGTCTGAGGGTTCAGTAGTGAGTGTAGGAACAGCGTCCGGGTCCGGCTTCAATCCGGGGATGCTGCTTAGTTCTGCTTTCGTCTCGACCTTATCCGTCACCGGACTTGTGTCATGAGCCTCGTCATCTCTGACCAGGAAGGACATGTTCCCAGCCTGGACTTGGTGAACTTCTTCCTCGTTCTTACACCTGTGTCGGCGTTCATAGCCCTTGTTAAACGCATGGGCCAGCGCTATTGATTGATGCTGCTCCAGACCTTGAACCAAGACACGCACCTTGGATTCCACATAGCCCGACCAGACCTTGTGAGCTTCCTTCTCAGTGCTGGAAGTGATGACAGAGATGTAGTACTTGTAGCCCTGTGTGAAAAAAGTGTGTTTAACGAACAGGTCACTCCATGGGCTCCTGCCTAGCATGATGGCGTCTGTAATGTCGCATCCTCTTTGGAGCTCTTGCTGGATAACCGTCATGGCTGATCGCGTGATATTGTAGGTGGCACACATGGAGGGGTATGCGGGGGTGATGACGGGCATGAGATGAAATTGATCTCCTTTGTACAGCTGTAGCTAGGTTAGCAGATAGACCAAGAGGGCCAGGGCCAGGATCATGGCCGAGGACGTGGCGAGAACGAACCTTGGGATTCCAAACGCGGACCTGGAGAGGACCACCCTCGACATGCTTAAGAAGTACCGGTTGCGGCCACGGCCAACGGCGCATGATGTGGAAAAATTTATTGACAATGACGGAGCTTGCAGCTTTCGGATACAATTGGCAGACGCGGGCAACTAACATGGCCCATGCCACGCCACCGGGGAATCCCATGATGTTGGCGTAAATGGCACGTCGTTGTGCCCAGAGTTTAATGGCGCGCAAAGCCAACTTGAAGGTGGCTTGCTCGGGAACCAAGCTCAGGATCTCGTCCGTCACCCGAGTACCATTGAGGGATCGCAACTCTGCTTCGTCAAGGCCCCGTAACAGGCCGGAATCCTGGACGTTAAAGTCCTTGGGCAGTTGCTTAAGCATGGCAATGCGAGAGAAGATCAGATCAATGCTAATACCGGAAAACTCGAATTTGATGATGGGCACGAAAGCGTCGGCAACAACGGCCATGTCTGTAATGGCGCCAGGAGGGGCCATTTCTTTGAGAAGGTCCGGAAAGATTTCGAAGTAGTCGGCGCGGGTAACATATTTCGGGGCGACAACAAGGGTATCGATATCGGAGCCAGGACCATACACACCCAAGCGGTAACTACCATAGGTGAAGATTTTGCCCCTGGCATCTCTGATGAGGGCATCGTTGCCTTCCTCCCGCTTTCGGGCCACTCGTTTGACGAATTCGTCGCAAATCCGTGCAAGATGCTCGAGAACCGTTTCTCTGTAGTCCATCGACAAAATGGTCAGCATGGAGAGCACCGTACTGATAATGTGCGTGGGTGGAACGATAGTGCTTGCCTCTTCTCAGTGTCTGTGGGGCTCTCGAACGTGTTCTGCCTTCGAAGCTCATCGATGAGGGTTTGCATCGCATGATTCTCTGCTTCGGTGGGGAGAGCCAATGAGATAGGCGGCGTTACGCCCAGCGGTCTTTCCTCGCTGGTCATGATGGGCGATTGCTTCAGGATGGGGGCTGACCCAAGAGGGAATCTGCGAGGAATGATCCAGCTGGCGGGAAAAGGGCGTTTGGGCGGCGCGGTCACCTGGCCAGGTGATGAAGGCAATGGCGATAGGTCTGAAGCAAAAGGATCGGGAAGTAGGAGGGGGAAGCTGTCGAAATGAAGGAAGGCTGCTCTCGACAAGCAAACAAGTCGAATGCAGGCGCCGCTGCGGTACCGTGTCTGAGCTCAAGCCGAAGAAGTACTAGATAGAGCCTGGCACTTTACCTCTGGCTGGGACGCGAGGCTCAGAGGTAGGGGTGAGGCGCGATACGTAGTTGCAGCAGGCAAGACAGGGCACTAAGGCAATCTCATTTTACATTTCAGCCAATCAGAGAGTATCGCTTTGCGACTAGCGGGGCCATGAGTTGCAACCATCCCAACCTGGGTAGACAGGTCGGATCCGTGCAGACCTGGGATAGAATATCACCTTGAGAAAGCGATACGAGCGTGTGGGAGGAACAGATGCAGCCTGACGATTTACAATTCTACCACTCGTCGAGTTGGCTGGGTTGGTTTTTTTTTTTTTTTTTTTTTTTTTTTGCTTGAAAACCCAGTCAGTTCCTCCGCTGCACTTTGCTTGGTTTTGGGTCATATTCAGCTGCACGGTATAAATTGGACGACGAAGAGAAGCAAAATGCGTTGGGTGGCGGGCAGGCCTAACACTCAGAGCAGCATGGATACTGATGGAGTCGCTAGTCGCTGGACATAAGTTTATGCTATTTTGTCCTTCAACTTCATTTACTATACCCCGGACTCAACCAACAGTACTAGCAGTGGCAGAAACACCCAAATCCAGATGTATTGGTTATCCTACCAGAGACAGTTGCTCCATCGGCCATTCGACACACTATTGAATGTTTCCAAGTGTGCTGTGCCAAGTCGGTGCTGCCTTACCACTATGTAATCCAATCCCTCACTTAAGTCAAACAAGCCGTAATTAACGCGGGCCCTTCAGACGAAAAGCCACGCTAAGCCCCCAATAAGCCCAAGGCCGCCAACCATCTCCAAGGTATTCCAGCTCTGCCATTTGAAATCGGCCTTGAGCTGCAGCAAGCCTAGGGGGTCCTGACGTCTCACTAGCGCCCAGTTTTGATCCGAGCCTGTGCTGTGCCTCCTACTACCAAGAGAGCGTCCAAGGTCTCTCCGTCCCCGGGTCCGCATCAATGCCATAGCAGTACCGCCATTAACGCCCGGGGCGGAATGCCTATCCCGACATGATTCCCTCACCCACATATCTGCTTGTTCCCGCGCTGTCCTCTCCCGAATCGCCCTCTCATTGGCTAAGCTGCGTTGCAGATCGGCTGCCCAGTCCCTGAGCTGTACTCGGTAGAACCTCTCCTCGTAACGAGCATGGTTTGGCACGCAGCTCATGGCGAGCGGTGTCAAAGACCCTGTCCGGGTGCGAAGCAATCGCCTCTCCGTACATCCATCCGTCTGCAGAGAAAGGCCTGCAGAACTGTTGCTGGTCTTGGGACGGCGAAGGCGCCAGCCCAAGAGTTTCGTTGCAGCGGCGTGACGGAGCCATGTTGCCCCGTCTACGCTGAATATACGTTCCAACAAACGTGGAAGGTCGGTCGGCACAAGAGGTTGCAGGTATTCAGAGCTCATGAGCAGACTCGCATCCATAACGTCGTGGTCTGACCCTAACTCGCTCGATATGGCGTATATATCTGGTGCTTGCGTGTTGGGTGTCGTGGGAGCAAAAGTGAACAACCTGAGACCTGCTTCAGCTAGTTGTTGAGTGATCTGCCCTTTGCTTGATTTGATTTGCTCAGGTGTCAAGGTATCAGCATGAGCGAGAAGTGGTATCACATTCGTAAGAGAATCCAGTTGACGAATATATTGAAAGTCCGTTGGCGTTAGGCCTATAGTCTTCTTCAGCAGCTGTTCATCCAAAGAAAAGGGGGCAAGTCTGACCTGAACTGGGTATTGTGTAGAGCACGGCATCGACAAGCAAGCCGCCACTTCCGCCAATTATTTTCAAGACATCTGGATCCTCCAGACCGTCAAGGCGGTTCTTCTGAAGATGAGATTCAATGTATTGTGAAACCTGACCGACGGTATCCACGGGCTACACTTGTCAGCTTCAACATGTTAGGGGCGATCTGTATAACGTACTCGGCATGTTTCCTGGTAGCCAGGTGTATCCACCAGGCATATGTTTCTGTCTAGTATCGTGTCATCGACACTGCCAGTGCCAGATACACAACTTGTTTGCACCGATTCCTTCCACCAAGGTGGGTACGGCTTGGTGCTGGCAAAGGTCTCAGTTATCTGGAAAGTGCCCTGGACAATAGGAGGATCATTGGGTAGCGTATTTGCCGGTAGCAAGCCTGCGGACGCCATCGCAACCGGCATGGTAGGATCGACGTGGACGATGTGTGAGCAAGATTGTGTTATCGCTCGGATCAAGGTGGTTTTCCCTAGGCCTGAAAGATTGAATCTGATTAGTGATAAATCCAGGTGTAGTAGTTAACCAGTCGCTCGTACCTGACCTGCCAGCCAAGAGGATTTTGAGCCTACCAAGGCTTTTCCCGGTTTCTGTGAAGGGTCTCCGGCTGGGAACGTTAATGGTAGGCATAATAAACTGCTGGGCAGCTTCGCCGCTGTAGGCACTCTGAGGTTGGCCATGCTCTGAGGCCCCAAATGCGCTCATGACGAAGCTTTCCTGGTATTCGAACAGTGACCCAGCCAAGGAATTGCGCCGAGATGAAGAGCTGCTGATAGCCGAACAAGATCCAGATACGCCGTACAATATTGGTGTCATGGGTTGAGATGTAAGTAGCGGTGGAGGGGTCTGAGAAATACCCGACGACACGTTTGTTGTAGGGACTGATCGATGAGTTGAGGCATCACGGGGTGGCAATGCGGAGGTGGAACGAGGGACGGTAGGAGGTGGAGCAGTACTGAGTTCACGGTTTGGGGTAGAGAAGTCGCCATGCATGGTGTGAGCGGTATGTTTCCGCTGGTCGCGCACTCGGGGAGCGAGAGAACACTGTGTTGTCAGTGAGGAATCTATGGTGGATTCGTTGGTGAGGATGAAAGACATCTGGGCGGCGGTAGACTGTGAAGCAGAAGCGAAGCAGTCCGAGGCTCCATCACTCGAGGAAGCGTTCCCTGCGAACGCATTGCTACCAGGTAGAGGTCGCATATCGTAAGAAGAATATCATCAGTTCGTGGAAAGTTAAAGCGGCGAAGAATATCGTACTGTGGAGAGTGTTTAGCATAGGTAGGTAGGACAGATATTCGAGCGGACAACTTGCATGCAGTTGGGATTGGCGTGGATGTGAGGCCGCGGTGGGCGAGTCGGTGATGGTGTTTGCGCTGGAGATGGCGGGGACTAGCGATAAGGTTCCTGGGAGGTCATGAAGGTAAGGTGATAAGAGGTCCAGTGGCAGCAGCGTATGACCCTTTCCGTACTAGTGCGGGGTGTGAGTGGAGACTTGGGGGCCGTGAGGGGATATACCTACGGAGTACGGATACTGCCTAGGTAGATACCTACCTGTAGTAAGCTAACTACCTACCTACCTGGGCAGGGGACTGACTTCAGACGCTCAGGGCCCTAGTCCAGACGAGTAGGCTTGCGTGGTGGCCCATTGAGATGCCCCCCACTGGACTGCTGTCCCTTCACACCCAGCGGTTGGAGAACCGGGCTAGAATCCTCCAATCCAAGGTGCCCCTCCTCCCTGACCTTGACCGGTTCTCCTTCCTTCGTTTTGTTTATTTATTCAATTAGCAGCATCGCCTTCCCTTACCAACCAAGTACTGCTCTCAACCTAGTGAAGAAAATGTACCTTCCATCTCCTGTTCCGCCCACTTTCTAATATGTACCTGCCAGTCTGACTTAGGCATAGATACATCCATTCCTAAGGTACCCATCCGTAAACCGCATGGTTGTACCTACCCGCGAACCGACATAGAACCCAACCAGCCCACGCCGCATTCGCACCATTTGCATCCATCCCACGTTGAACGCTGGATCGCTCGCCTCACCCGCATCTCCCGCCACTTTGCCTTGTCGCTTGATCATTTAATCCGCTGACGCGAACGATTGAACTGCCCCGGACAATATTCACAGTCTCGATTTTTCGTCACCGCCCTATCGGCACAGCGTCAAGCTTTGCGGCTCAGCGCCTCGTTCCACGATACATCTTGTTGACATACCCTTTCTTCCTCTTGATCGAAGAGGAATCAGCTTGCCTCATAGAGACACAGACGACGAGTACTAACTCCAACCCGCCGACAGCGTCCCCCATATCGAGCAACAGACATGGACGGTAAGAGGCATCCGAGCTCGTTTCAGCAGCTCGAGAAACTCGGCGAAGGCACATATGCAACTGTACGTTTTCCTCTCTTGCCCAACATTCTCCTTCTTGGTAGCTAACTGTCAACTTGCAGGTCTTCAAAGGTCGAAACCGGCAAACGGGAGAGCTCGTTGCACTCAAAGAAATCCACCTAGATTCAGAAGAAGGCACACCCTCGACTGCGATTCGAGAAATCTCACTTATGAAGGAGCTCAAGCACGAGAACATTGTCGCCCTCCACGATGTCATCCATACCGAGAACAAGTTGATGTTGGTCTTCGAATATATGGATGGTGATCTGAAGAAGTATATGGACACCCATGGCGACAGAGGTGCCTTGAAGCCGCACCAGATCAAGTCATTCATGTACCAACTCCTGAGAGGCATCGACTTTTGCCACCAGAACAGGGTTTTGCATCGAGATCTGAAGCCTCAGAATCTCCTCATTAACGGCAAGGGACAGCTCAAGCTTGGCGATTTCGGCCTGGCCCGTGCCTTCGGCATTCCCGTAAATACCTTCTCCAACGAGGTCGTCACGCTATGGTATCGTGCGCCCGACGTCCTCTTGGGAAGCAGGACGTACAACACAAGCATCGATATCTGGTCTGCAGGATGTATCATGGCGGAGATGTACACCGGCAGGCCGTTGTTCCCCGGTACAACGAATGAGGATCAAATTATCAGGATTTTTCGTATCATGGGAACACCGACCGAGCGCACCTGGACCGGTGTTACCCAATTTCCCGAGTACAAGCCGACGTTCCAGATGTACGCCACCCAGGATCTTCGTCAGATTCTTCCCCAAATCGATCCGACGGGCATCGACCTTCTTCAGCGGATGCTCCAGCTACGCCCTGAACTACGTATCAGCGCCCATGAAGCCCTCAAGCATCCTTGGTTCAACGATATCGTCATGCAGCAGCATCAGCAGCAAGCTTTGCAAGCACAAGCTAGAGCCTACCCAGGACAAGGGTCTTACGAGACCTACTGAACTTCCAAGAGAAGCTGTTTCGACTTACGATTTGGCGGTCATCCAATCTTGAGGTTTTCGGCGATATGCGAAAATGGTTATGAAGATGCATCATCCGTACCAACAGCGAGGAGTAAGAACATGACGATGAAGTATACGACATCATCGGCAAACTTGGCAGGGTGCATTTCGGGAGTTCCTGTGAACTGCGATTGGTTAGGGCTGGGTGTGGAACGGGAATTGACCATCAGATGACTATACTTTCCGCCATCAGCGTAAAGGAGTAGTAGTAATGAATGCATTTAAAAGTCCATGCTATGGATCTATGTGGTGATTTGCAAAATGTAGAAGTAGATGTACATGTGGCACTCAGTCTATGCGAGCAGCCATCTAACATGAGTTTCTAGACGAATAAAAGAGAGAGAAAAAGTCGCCTTGTTACTCTCTGTGAACCAGACTGTCGTCCACGGGGCTCTTAAACTGCTTCTCCTTGGGGTCGCGCTCCCATGTCTCAGCGAGAGCATACGCAGGATCATCGTCAGGATAGCCCGCCCGCAATCTCAATCTCTGGACCATGTCCCTCACAGTCTTTGCGACCTCTGTCCGTAGCTGGATAGCTTCGGGGTGGTATTTGAGTGATTCGGGCACTTCGCCAACGTTCAGCCGCTTGCCCAAAGCTTCTTCCTCTTTTTCTACTAAGCGCTTCCACCTCGACCGCTGCTCCCTAAAGGCCTCGCCCACTTCCAGGGCCTCGCCGTAAATAATGCGGATCTTGGCGCCGATGCGTGGGGCCCACCGCGGCCATTGCCTGTTCTCAGGCATGATGTCTGAGAACCCGTCGATGAAGATAGGAACGAGCTGCGGAGCCGGGTCGGATTCGAGGATTAACCGGGAGACACCCCACTTGAAGTACCGGAGAGACCGCTGCGGATGCTGATGTACACATCCCTCGGGAAACACATGCACCCATGCGTTATGGTTGTTCCTGTAATGTACGGGCGACACGAAAGTCTCATTGTTGCCGGCACTGAAGGCCGCTTTCATGGGGAACAGGGCTCCAGGGCCGGAGACGAGGCGGATCGCCTCGGTCATTGTCGGTTGAAATAGACCGCCGTAGGGTGAATGGAGCATACGATATGTCGGCAAGACCTGACCTAGGCCGAAGAAGGACTTGAAAAGGCTAGACTAGTGTCAGGGAGGTGTAGTTGGTCCAACGTCTGGGGGGATGAGGGAATGTCAAATACCCATTCTTGAAGCAAATGTCATGAGCACCGAGTCCCCATCGAGCGCTCAACGGCGAAGAGTTATACTTAAGCGGCAAAGCACCCCATATGAGGGGATCGTCTAGCCTGTGTGTCCGAGATGCATTAGCTAGACACATACGCCGAGGGGAAATATAGCACGATGAAGGAAACTCACACACTGATATGGTTAGAGACTGTGATTGGCAAGAGAGGTAGTCAGCGATGGCTTCTTTTGGTACTGGTATACTTCAAGAGAAACGAGAATTCGCAGCCGTACCGGTGATAAGACCACGCTCAGGAGCCCCAGCCCGACGCTTGTCCAACAGATCGAGAAACTGAGGAAGGCCTTCTGTTTGAACGTCGTTGAGGCCATGCAAAAAAGCTCGAGAAATGGCGCCTGTAAGGCCCATGATGGCCGCTGATGCTATCCGCCATGGCAAACTCGGTTGATCCGGCCGTGCTTCCGAGGCGGTCATTTTTGTTTTTGAGTGAAAGGCAGGCTCGTTGTTCTATGCGGGTTGTTAAAATGAGTGAAAGGGAGAGAGGAAAACCGAGTAACAGTGAGAGACTAGGCGATTGGACCGCCGGACCGCGTCATGAAGCCCACCACTTCAGACCAATGACAAAATGCAAATTTCTTGTGACGGAACAAGCATCTAAATATTTCAAGCGCCATCCAGTAACAGCAAGTGGATTATGGCAGAAGCCACTAACCTTCTGAAGGGTTTGTCGATGGAAACATAACCGGAAGGTCGAAAAATGCTTCCATAGCGTCTCAACAAACCGGTGGATCACTCTATAATGGATATTTCCCTAAGGGTGTAATCAATATACATTAAATGCATATTCGTTGGCAGTGCATGGGACAGGTATAATGTCTCACCCTTGTCGCTCTGGGGCCTCTTTCCGGTTTACTTTCCAGCGCGGAGGTACCTCCCCTAACTATCCTTGCTCTCAATCTTCCCATACCTAGGTAGGACTTCGTTCGTCTCACACTTGCTTGTCGAAATATACATCTGTCAACTCGGAGACCGAGATTAATCTTTGGGAATTCAATTTTCAGAACTACTATAATCAATCGGTCTGAACCATAAATCAAAATTTCCAAGAAGAGTTGGTTGTCCACAACCTGAACCACGACAGCAATGGCACACAGTAGGCTCAAAATTCCAGGAAACTCGTGTACATCACTCTAACGAGTCTCAGGCAAACGAAATACGTCACGCAGCGTCTTCACCTCCTACGAGCGTGATATGGCCAAGGCTGCATGGGCATCAACCTCGGCACGCTTGTCTCGCGACTCCTTCCTCCCGTTTGGTTCTTGCTACCTCTGCCTAGAGATCGCAAGGGACCCTGTTTCGTGCAGTCACGGTGACATATTTTGTCGTGAGTGTGCGGTGGCTAATCTCCTGGCCCAAAAGAAGGAGATCAAGCGCTTGGAGCGAGCGCGGGAGAAGGCGGAACAAGAGATGCTGGAAGCCCAGGCCCGTCAAGACGTTGAAGCTCAAGAGCGCGCCATAAAGGAGTTCGAAAAAACTCAGGCGGGGCTTAGCCCGTCGTTATCTGCACCGGTATCGTGTTCGTCTGGTTTAGAGTCAAAAGATGATGGCGCACCAAGAACCAACGCCAAATCTACGGCAATGCAGGGTACCAAGAGAAAGTTCATATTGGACCAAGACGAGCTAGAAAGAATCGCAAAGGAAGATCGCGCCAAGGCACAGAAGTTTATTAATGAGGAAAAGGTTCGGTCGGATTTGCCAAAGGGCTGCTGTGTGCGATAACAACGACGCTAACTCTCTTCTAGGCATCTAAGGAAAAGTTGCCTTCTTTCTGGACACCGTCGCAAACGCCCGACGCCGAAGCGGCTCGCAAAGTGGCAGGCGTGGCAGTCCTTCCTAAGAACATCAAGCTTGCGCCAATTTGTCCAGCTTCACCCGACAGTTTGCAGCATCCCTATTCCCTGAAATCCCTGATCACTCTCAACTTCAAAGAAGAGCCCGATCCCAAGATGAACAGCAACAGGCGTATATGTCCATCGTGCGTAAAGACGCTTGGTAACGCGTCACGGCCTTTGCTGGCCGAGAAATGCGGCCATGTCATCTGCCGAAACTGTGCTGCCAAGTTCATGGCTCCTGTCAAAGGCAGCGACGTTCGACCGCAAGAGAACACTTGCTACGTTTGTGATGCCCGCCTGACGGCGAGCCCCTTGGATAGCAAGCATAAGCAGCGCAAACAGGAGTTTACTGGGCTGGTCGAGCTTAGATCAGAGGGTACGGGGTTTTCCGCGAGGGGCGCAAGTAAGGTTGAGAAAAGCGGTGTTGCCTTTCAGTGCTGAGTCTTGCTGCCCACCTAGCCAATACGTGTTTGTCCACGGGGTTGCACGGTGGTGAGGTGAGGCGGCGGGCATTCAGCGTAACAAGTGCTGGGCAGTATCTTCATCGAAGTCTGAGAAATGCCTGACGGAGACGTTGCAGCTTAACTCTGCGCGACTGCCCCTGTGACAAGGACAACAGCAATATGCCCAGACGAATGACAAATTTGTGGATAATGCCTTTTGACACCATGGTCAGCCCGTGACTGAAGAAGCTCTTGAGCACTTCACCCTGGAGACCAGCATATAACGCCAATATTCCCTCAGTCCTCGCAATGGATAGTACGATGGCGATGACGCTATCGTCGACCAGCTTCTTGAGTCCACTCAGAGCACCACTCATCTCGTTAACGGAAATCGGACTTTGTGGTCCCTTGCTGGATTCCGAACTGGAGGGTGTGTCCGAATTACCGGTGCTCCTATGCGGCGAAGCGTTGCCGGACCCACGCATCTGAAGTCTAGCTTTGGCAGTTTGCAGGGGGTAGCTGATGATGGTTGCGATAGATTTGCTAGCGGCAGCCAGAAGAAAAGTTGTTTGTGTGCTGTGCGAGGTCTCGTCTGAATCCGGGAAAAGTGTCTTCCCTAGCTGTTCGTTCAGAAAAAATGTAATGCTCGGATTGATGGTCAGCAGCAAGGAGGCGGAATACCCGGCCCAGAGCCCAGCTATGCCGTTCTCAGCGCCAATAGAAGAAAGAATCTTCCAAACAGACGCGTTCTCGGCATCCGTATTGGCTTCGAACATGGCTGATGTTTGCTTCCTCGCCACCACGTTGGCGATGGGCGTCGTGCAACCTCGCGCGCAGGCGCCGGCCAATGCGCCGATGGCCAGCTCGTCCATGACAGATAACCTCCTGCCGCGTGAACGGCGGCGGGCGTCCCGAAAGTACTGGTAAAAGAGGAAGAAGAGAAACGAATCCGCGATGGACTTGAACACGTCCTGGGCAAGGCCCGTGTAAAGGCTCGACATGCCGCCTTCCTGCGAGGAAATGGCCTTCAGCGCATGGAAGACGCCGCGATACTGGTCCTTTTCAGAAATGGCATTTTCCCTCCGTAATTGGCGCTGGACCTTCAGGCGTGTGGTGACGAGGTCGAGAGGATAGACTGCAGCCGTCGACAAGGCTGTGCCGGTCGCACCAGCGAGGGCGTGGCCCAGGGCCTCAAGAACACCAACAGGTGCCATCATGAAGATTGTTTGGGTGGAATAACCCTCCGAGGAGGCTTGGGATGAAATGTATTGGGTCCAACTGGCAATTAGCAACAAGGGCGGTGGTGCAAGAGGCCGAAAGTGTAATCCACACAGACGAGGGGATTCGACGGGACAAAAGAACACAGCGATTGAAATAAACCCACCCGCTCGACGATTATTGTGTTGCAATGCAAAGTAGCGCGCTCGCTGTGCAAGATGACCCAGGTGACATGTGACGAGAGCAACGGCAGTCGGCAGGAGCCACGAAGGCGGTGATTGCGAGAGGAGGGACTGAATATGTCGTGCCGAGGTCAGCTAGTTCCGGGCAGTTGCTGAGGCGGTAGTCGGCAGCCGGGCTGGCTGATGGTCATCATTGCACAAAATCCGGGGTAAAAATGCAATGTCGTCATCGTAGCGTGCTTCAGACCGCGCTGTCCCGCACCCGGGGCTGAGCTTTGGGAGGGGGCGATCCACCTGCTCACCTGATAGCTTTGTGGCTTCACTACTCGAGCCCCGGTAGTCTCGAGCATATGAATAAGATGCTGGCGGTCTGCGTCCACATGTCAATTCCACGCGGCCAGGATTATATGTCTACACTAGCTGCCTTTTCAATGTTGACAAGATCTACACGATCCCTAGATGCCCGTCTGCTGTAAGAACACCTAGCGATCTTGACGGCTACATCTGAAGCCCATATCGGTTAAAAACTTTCGCTTTCCTCAACCATACCTTATTCCCAGCAACTGAGAGCTAAAAATGCAATCACCAAACGCCACTGTCTTCATAATTCCTATCGCAATCAGTTGTTATACCGCCGGCGAGGAAGGGACGAAAAAGAATAGCCCCCAATGACGCCTGCCTCCCGCTTTCCCTTTCCTTCCAAATGTACGAGACCGTGGGCCTCTTTATACCCTTCATACTGGTGGTGTTTCGTCAATTCACCCTCGCGGTCCCTCGTATGACCTGAGGTGCGCCGTGTTAGGCTCTGCTTGTCACGGATGGCCTTCGTTGTGGTGGCTGGCCTTGCATGCTGAAGCTCGAGGATCTGCGAATACCTCCAAAGTTCACATCCGCCGTGTCAGGCTCTCCCGGTGCGTCTTCTGTGTCCATGAAGCCTGGGTGGCCGTGAGGCAGCCTCTGCGCACCGAAACCGTTTACTTTGAAAATGTTGGTTCGGCCGCCGTTAGTCGCCATCTGCAACTGCTCATGTAGACGTGCAAGCTGGTACTGCCTTTTGATCGGGTTAAGAAGCGGTTGCGGTACCACGGGTTGCGGATTCCAATGCGCCAATGCACTCATGACAGCAGCCGTCTCCTCATCCGAATCGACCGGTCCGGCGTTGGCTTCGTCTTCGTCTTCCAGTGGAGCGTTGGCATCGAGAGCAGCCTCTGTAGAAGCGGTGTTAGTAATTGAGCTGGGTTTTGAGGCGCTGTGGTGCACCACGTACTTTGCTGTTTAGCCTGATTCTTCTTCTGATACGCCGCCAAAAGCATATCGTAGGGTAGAGACCGTCCCGCGACGGCACGTTTTGCCCCCATACTATGGCTCTTACACGTGAGTGATCTCGCGCATGGCTGTCCATTGGGTAACAGGACACCGCATTGTCGTTCGACATCGACGGGGCCTGCGCCTTGGTCAGCATACAATAACTTGTCACATCGACGTGCCTGCATCTCTTACCTTTTGGTTTAGGAGCTTTTGGCTTGGGCTCTTCCTTCTTCTTCTTCTGCTTAGGTCCTTTCTCGGCATCTCCATCTGCCTTGCGCTTCTTGCCCTTTCCAGTGTCACCATCGGTCTTCTTGCCAGCGGCCTTTTTCGTGGTCTTGCTGCCGATAGCTTTCTTTTCGGCCCCATCTTCATCAACTTCGCTATCGTCTTCGCCCTTGCCGTCCGCATCTTCGTCTGCTTTCCTGGCCTCTTCTTCTCGTGCAGCCTCTTTGGCCCTTTCACGGGCTTCTCTCGCCTCTTTCTTGCGCTGAGCCTTCTCCTTTTTTAGCTTGAGACACTGCGCGATGTGGGCTTTGGCAGCCGTCTTGAGAATGCTCTTTTTGCAGTGCTTGCATTGCTGCAGATCGGGTGTGTCCTCGAGCGGTCTACCTGTCGCGAAGGCTTCGCGCGCGCTGTCATCGAGTGGGTTTACCACCGGCCCAGGGGAGGCGACAGAAATCGTTGGGGAACCGTCCTTTTTCGACTTCTTGTCTTCTGGTGTGGCGGCGCAACCGTTAGTCCACAGGAGGGCACATAGTAGACCATATGCAATTGTTAAGACCTTACCTTCAACAATACTCCCTTCTCTCCAGTTTCCAGGCTTGTTGTATTTCGGGGCGGGTTTCTTTAGCTTTATGGGACCATCAGGTTTATTCTTGGGATCCTTCTTCGATGCGACCTTGATCGTCTGCTCATCATCTGTATGCGCATCCGCGAATTAGTAAATGAAGACCCATGCCAGCGTGAAGCAAGAGATAAAGCGCGTTACTCTTTTTTGAATCCGAGACGGTCGCCATAGTGTCTATGATATTCTACACCCAGCGAACTCAGCAATTTAGTGATTTTCCTTGTTTACGACGGTGATGGTAAGTAATGTCGATGGTAAGAGAAGGGGTATGTGGCGAAGGGCCGCTGCAGTGACAGGAGACGCGCAGGCCGTCGAAGTCCGGCGGTTGATCTCGGTCTGACAGGGTGTCACTTCATGACAGAAGGGTTGAGCCGTGATTGAGTTATTTCATTGGAGATGGATGGTAATAGTTAGCGATACGCCGAGCCCTGGTCGAGCGTGGTAGTCGAGTATCGTCGCCTGTTGCCTTCATCTGCTGGGTGGAGGACCGTGACTAGAGTCACGCGTAGAAGTCGCCGGTCTCCACAGCTGAAAGCCTATGGGCCCATTCGCGGAGCATATGTACCGTATGAGGTGTCGATATATTTATACTACGCACTGTTTTGACAGCCCACCTTCCGTTGCTATGTAATACCAGCATTGAATTCGCCAACATATGAAGACCAGGTCGGAACCCTGAGAAAACAGCAAAGAGAACAGCATGACACCCGAAGGATTAAGAGCTACCGCTCAATAAAGTTACATGGTTTTCTTTAAACGCCATTGATTCCCGTAGCCGAGTTTGAATGAAACATTTCTGTGAGTTGTCCAGGATGCCTTCTTCGTTGTACAAGGTTTACTGTGCCTACGTTGATTTTTATCGCCATACTGCCTTATCCCAATTTGCTCCGTCCAGCCTGATTTCAATGCATTTCTAAAGCCGCTGGAAACGATGGTATCACACAGCCATAACCTAGCTGCTGTTGCTGCTGTTGCTCCGGTACACCGGGTCCTTGGTCCATCACAGAACCTTTCCAGTCCAAATTCGCATGCCGAATGCGCCTGCTTTTCCATTGGCCCTTCTTCCAATTCTTACCAGTCGTCCGCCAGTATTCCTGCCGCGCTAGATCTAAGCACCGTGTCTTCGTGCGCCCGCATGGCCTCCATCATGGATCGCGCATGTAGCATACCCATGTCACTCCAGATTGTCTGTATGACGCCCAAAGCCCACTCCCAATATTTCCTGGGAACTCCAGGAGCGCAACCAGCCACCTTTAAATGAAACAGCAATGCCGGAAGTCCTGCTGATCCGGATCCACCTCCACCGGGGCTTTCAACTTTTATCTGCGCCTGCCCGTCGAGGGACGGGTGTCGCCAATGGGTCGGCGCACTCACTAGCGTGTCTCTTGCCAGCCTTCGAATATTCGCGAGGAAGTTGTCACGTGCGGCAGCCGATACGAGTGAAAGACTGGAGGTTGGGTTCTTGTTCGCCAAGTCCAGCACGTTCTGGTTCACCAGAACTCGCGCCCAGCGGTAGTAGTTCCAGATACGGGCGGTCCAGACGTCGTGATACTTATGATATTCACCCTCAAGAACCGCTTTTGGGGGCAGGTGAGTGGCGTGGATAGTCTCGTATAGCCAGGCTCCTTCCAGGGCATTCTCCCATGATGCCAGGTCGGAGTCAAGATCCAGTAGTTGCTGCAGCACGTTGACTGTTTTAGGCTTTCCGTCGCTAATGACATGTCTGTGAATTATCGACGAGATTTCGACAAAGCGAGCGATGAGAACTGCCAAGTCTGTGGATGGTCGATCGATGGGAATTTGTAGCTGTGAGCCGTACGAAACCCAGTCGTAAAAATCCGGGGGCATCGGCATGCCCGCAACATGAAGAGGTATGAACTACAGAATAAGCCAGACCCGGAAGAGCAAAGAGTGCAAGGCGTATCTTACCATTGAGTAGCATAACTGTAGCAATGCCCTGAAACCCGCAAAAGGCACACTGGGCATCGGACACCAGCTTCTCATCAGAGCCGCTCCGCCCATAACGTGAGCGTGAACGGTGCTAGTGGAGTGATGAGTCCCTTTGACAACCTAGACATCCAGTGGCTCAGGTTAGTCGTCAGGCGTAATAACAACGGTGACCAGAAGTAGTGTAGAGGTCATGGGAAGGCGGTAACCGACCTCGAACATGGCAAGTGCGACAACGGATCTCATCGTTACATCTATGCTGGGAGTGTGCGGAGGTCGGATGAGCTTTCCGGTTTGTCGAAGTGCCGAGCCGTACTTCTCTCGCGCAGTAGCCATCATTTCCACGTTGCCAGTCAAGTTGTACAGCCCGGCAAGCCCTACAGCGCACATAACGTCCTGCACTGCTGGGTGCCATACCCAACCTTGTGTAGCCAGTTCCTGTCCCGACTTTGGTTCATCCGGGTGTCCGATCAAATAGCGGTTGACGTAAAACTGTACGCCTTGCTCCTCGAGGGTGGGGCCGATGTGCAGAGTTGGCGGGCTCGACTCGCGGAATTCTTGTTTCACGACTGGTAACACTGGCGGAGACGTAGAGCCTGACGAACGGCTGCTTGATAAAGGTGACGTGGCGAAGGGTGCGATGTTTGGTATTGGCAAAATCGCGGCTGCAACATTTGATCGTGATGCGGTCCTCGTGCTGTTTGGCGTACTCCTTTGGCTGTAAACTGGAGAAGAAGCAGGCGGCGAAGGGCCATTCGACGCAGAGGCCTGTATCTGCTCGTTATCGGGTCCATCAGACACACCCCATTGGGCGTGAGCTTTCTTGATGACTTTGGTGCTCTCATCGCGGAACATCAGTGAGAGTTGGTCTCGATAGCCAGGGCATTTCTTGCCAACGCGGATGCATTGTGAGCACTCAGGGTTCACCTTGTCGCACTACAAAATAAGAACATTGTCAACTAAAATCCAGCCTTAACCCGTTGCCGATGTGAAAAACTGGAAGAAGAGACAGTGCTAGGTAGGGCAACGGCGCCGCAACTTGCTCCAACATAACGTTCAGTGCATTGTAGGCGTGATGGTACACACCTTGATACGACGAATTCTGCAGTTCTGACAGCCCTGAGAGGCCTTCCCGCAATAGACCATTCTCGCAATGGGGGCTTAGAAGACACGACCTTGCCGTCTTCGAGAAACCAAGACGCAGTATGGTGATTGGAAGTGATGGATGGATGCCTTTGGGTGAACTAAGGATGGACGATGCCGTTAATTCGTACGGCCCATCACGAGAGGCAAGAGAGGCCGTGGATTGCCATGCAAGCCCCGATCGCTCGAATCCGCGACAGATAAATGGGGCAGACGCAGGTGGAGAGTCGTATTGACGAGGGACCGGCGACTCTATGTTTCCCGATGTGTCTGCGGTTGAGATGTGAGGAAAGGCGGACGAGACCGAATCGACGGGAGGGAAAAGGATGGATCGATGAGGACCCGCAACAGCTACTCCTGGGGAAGGGGGGCCGCGAAATATGATGGGTGACAGCAGTTTACTGCACGAGGTTCCGTAGTCGTCAGAGGGAGGGCGGAGTGCGGAGGTTTGGGAGCTGTCCCAGACTCACGCAGTACTTGCGCGGGGGCTTTGACAAAAGAAAAATGACAGGACGAGATTGGTAACAAAGTTGAGTTCAGCGACTGAGTGAGAGGGGGACGCGGGCGTGGAAGCTCCCGTCGCGGATCCAAATGACACTACACTAGGGTCAGGGTGGGACAATGCAACCAAGTCGTTCAATGGGACTGTGAGACAGGCTGGAGGACTGATGAGAAGAAGGACAACAAGTGAGCCGGCTCAAGAGTGTAGTGTTTCTTCTTCTTCTTTTGAGAATGTCGAATTGTCAAATTGTCAACTTGCCAGTTTGCTCAACTTGTCCTCCTGTTACTAATCGGAGAGAGAGGGGGGCTGTTGACGACGATCCGAGGGAGATGGATGTAAGGCAAAGTAAGAGTACCGTAGAAGATAGCGTTGTGACGAATGACAGGGGAACGACGAATTTTAGCGAGGAGGAGTGCCGGAAGAGACGGGTACAGTTACACAGTATCGTACACGCACTTGTGGAGAGGAATTGGCGAGGCTTGCATTAGCATACTCGACGCAAGACGTACGGTGGATGCGGGCACTTTGGAAATGTGGAGGAACACCTATTGATTAGGACGGAGATACCCAGGGAAGGAGGGGGGCGCAAAGTGGACCATACTGGGGACTGAACTTTCCCTACCTAGGTACCCTACCAGCTCGGACTTGGGTGCCGGGACAGTGCAACGGGATCTGTCATGGAATCCCACTAACGTCTTCACCCATGTCACCTACCCTTGGGTGCCTACGCACCTACGTAGTACCCACTATGATACCTATCTACCTACTACGTAGGTAGGTACCTAGGTAGGTACAGAGTGTACCCTACATGTTCCAGGCCCCGTGGTGGCCTCCCGACTCCCGATTCCCTACACGTGTGCCTGTGATATCCCATGCTTCGGGGTAAGCCAAGGGGGGCTATTGTGCCGTACAAGGGGATGAATGGGGGCATCCATTCCGGCGAGCCGTGAGTATCCTTGGGGCAGGTAAATACCTCCCTAAGAGTACTTGTACACGTGTGTATTCTGGTGAGTGCCTAATCTCACGTTGCTCTCGAAGGAGGTATGTAGTGATTGGAGGCTGCAGTGGTGAGCGCGAGCCGCCGACAGCGTTTCGTCTGACAATTGGACACCGGGCCAGACTTTCGGACACATGCAAACCCAAGATTTAAAGACAGTGTTGGGGCACGAGCCTCGCCTGTGTATGAGGGCACTGCTGCTGCGGTCTAGAATTCTCGATGGTTAGGATGGTTGAGTGGTTCTTGACGCGCTAACTTTTGGGATGCCCGAGACATGTCTGACCCTATCTTGCTTGTCGTGCTACCTAGGTACCTATCTATCAACCATCTTGGCTTGGCTGTACCTATAGGTAGTATACCTTCAGTGGACAGCTCTCTGAGCAGCCAAGCGTTCGCGCATACCCAGCGCGGCAACTTCCTAGCGTGTCTCTAAGAAATAGATTCAATCATGAAAAACGACAACCGCCGCTTAGTGCGTGTTTCCTCAGAGAGACGCTCCCGCTAGTTGGTAACATCTGTACCTAGATATGCTTTACCCAAAAACATACAAGTAGCTAATCAGAGGCCAATTGATAATTAAGTAACTATGTCCTAGACCAAAACTTCTGTCTCCTTCCATCTTTCTTACTGTTGAACTAGGTAGGTAGTCAGTCTACCTCCGTTTCTCTGCTTGGTTGTCGAGACATGTTTGCTCCGCGTCTTGACGTGCCATGCTTGGTCATGAATGCGATTGCACAATGCTACCCGGGCGATACTCCACAGAAAGGTGGACCATGGGTGATCATCTTAACCAAAAACAAAAACTACCTAGTCATCGAGTTGACAGACCAGGTTCTCGGACCATGTGCCATACAATCCGCGTGCGCATCGGAATGGCTGCAGTAGCGAAGCAGCTTTCCGACCCGACCAATGCCACAGCTTTTGGCGATGGGGTTTGCCACCAGGCACTAGTGTCATATCATATAATATATGCATATGCTGCAGCGTGCAACATGGTTAGATGCGGGCACTGCTGCTGGGCCCCTACATATCCGTAATAGGGTCAGAGACTCAGAGCTGCGAGTGCGACCGTCGGATTTGAGCCAGCTGCCCAAATCAGGAGTCGTATATGTATCTCGTACCTGGTTTGTATCATTATCGTTGCCGTTGATGTCGTTCACGTCGTTGGTATGGTTATGGTGATATTGGAACGTCCTGTACGCTTCTTCCTCTACTCGTTTCGGCAGCTCTACAACTATGTTGATTATTCGGATGATGATGGACATAGGGCTTGTCCTGACAGGGGGTAATTGTTCCAGCCGCCGGGGCCATCGAACTTCCCCCCGTGCCCCAATCGACGGAAATGTCCCCGTCCCGATCCCAGCCCCTGGTGGTTTTGGTACATGTACCCGACTCTCCTCGTGCAACAACATTGTGCCCTATTCGTGAGAGCCTTGTCAAACTCACCAAATGAACCACTCAACTCAAGTTTGGAGAGTGTCAAGTCCACAACCCGCCATGGAGGTACAGGCGACGCATGACCTCTTTCTTATCCAACTAGTGGGCATGTAATCGTATCTTCTCATTTCCTCTGCACGCCGTGGTCTAAATCGGCCCAGCACTTTGCCCACCTGGAATACCTGTATACTGCATAGTCAACAGTCTTCACAATCGTCACATGCACCGGACCGCACTGGTATCGAAATCCAAGCTGCTTTCTGTGGCCTCTTCAATGCCCCCAGGAGAAGATGATACACTACACACTGAACAGTCCGAGTTTGGGCACGATGGCTGTTATTGGTCCAAGCTAGTCCAAAGTAACAACTTTTCATTGGCCACGACTTACATATAACTGTACTCAACAACATCACATTCGCGCAGTTCTTTCGGCTGGTCTTGCTCCTCGTCACGCCATGGTGTTCGTCGGATTAATAATGCTAAAAGAGTCCCTCAGCTCTGAATCAACCCCGATGGGTGCCTAGAAATGACAACTCACCGATGCTGACAGCCCGCAAGGAACGTGAGGAAGGGGCAGGGATCAGCGTGACAGGGCATCTCGTTGAGGCAGGGGCAGGGGACGAAGAAGATAATGCTTGAAGCGAAATAGCACCTCACGATTCTAGGGCTGTTTTCGTCTGCAACTGTCATTTTAGCTGGCGGAGCGTATCCGTAGATCCATGTCATCTCATTACTGATCAGAGCTCATTCCAACTTATTGCAGTTGATCGGTCATTTCATCTGTAAATAGCTGGCATGCACAGAAGTCCAAAGACGGTCTTTCCGAGAGATTCTCCGAGCCAACGGGGCGATCCCGCCAAATACATGCACCGCCTGCCCGAAGAGACACCGGCCACTCTCACCTGCAAAGACAGAGCCCCGGTCGTCCAGAGCATGCGAACGGATCTTCGGTGCAACTCGCGATCTGGAACCCCAAATCTCTCTCACTCGCGATAGGTGAGGCAGACATGGCTCTGTATCTCTAGTGCTCCTATCTGACGAAGGACCCGATGCGCAACTACCAAGAGTAGAATTACGACAGGATGATGATTGTTAATTGACTGCGCACCGCAATGTACACATCTTTGGCCTCGAGACAAGTTTTGCTTAGTGCACTGTTGGAAGACCGTGACGTATTCATGAGTATCGGACATCTCGAGTGCCAGAATATATCCGCCAGTTACCCATATCCCACAAGCGACTGTTCGTTAGCGGCTGCTTGCAGGCATGAGCCACGCAGCTACATCTAGGCTGGACCAGGTCCTATAGACTTCGTCTCTGACGGCCTCGTGGCCGAGACTCCTCTGCAAAGTGGTTAACGAAAGGCTTCAGAGACTAGACGTCAGTTACCAAGAAGAAGAGGGAAAGCTTACTGGGTGAAAAGTTTTCCCGTAGTATGTCGGGACATACCACATGGAATCCTGAATCATGACATCCTCATGAACAAACCGCAGCGAAGGATCATCTCGTTTGGCCCTGGCCATGTAACACAGGGCCAGCAAGCCCCAGTCTCCCGATCTCTCGGCCGAGTCCAAGCAGGTGTCCGGGTCGACGAGCGGCGACAGCGGCGACAGGGTGCGAGCGCGTCCAGCGTCAACCTTGATGCTCGTGCTATTGGGGGCTGGCGTCGGGTCCGTTACGTTTGGGTTGTTGTCTTTGCCTCCGACGAGAAAAAACCAAGTCTCGGTCCTGTTGTACGCGGGTTCTGTTACGTTGGGTTCGCAGAAACGGTGCCCTTCAAACCGGGCGTCGTAATCAACGAATAATACCTTTGGGGTCGAGTACCTCGAGTTGACGGCGTCAATGGATCGCTTTAGCTTGTCATTGACTGCCACCACCATATCGTTCATCCGCTGGCGAACATCCCTCTTGAGCTTCGGCCCTTGCCACCAGACACCCAGGGTGCAGTTGTCGCATTCGTCAGTCTCAACACTGAAAAACCGAGCATAGCCGGTAACAGTAACGACAAACCACGGCCGTTTTTCCCACTGAATCTTGTCCAGTATCTCCATGATGACCATCGCTAACCGGTGCTCGAACTCGGGACTCTCGATCTGATCGGCCACATACTGCAGGGCCGTCTCACATGTTCCTGAGTAGAAGCTATAGAAACGAAATATACAAGCATTCATAACGCGGAAGAAACCAAGGTCGTTGCCCCCGATAGAAAGAATGGCGAAATCGGCATTGATAGATGTGTTGAATCTATCAATCTGACTGCGCTCACCGCCAGACAGAACATTACCAGTGGTCGAACCGGTACAAGACAGGAACTGGAAGGTTGTCGCGCTCGCACCCTGGCTCTCGGCGAGGTCAGTGAAGATTAGGACTGGATGTGCGTGAGAGCCGAGTCGACAGTCGTCTTCGACCCCATCAACACCGGTGCCGATGCCAGCACTATAAGAATCGCCAAAAGCAACAAACCCTGCCGAACGTTGCGGGTGTTGCTGACGATCTGTATACATATCTGGGGACGAGCCCAGCGTGAAAACTGCGAGAAGCCTCATTAGACTACAGGAGTTTTCCCTTCTCGTTGTTCGGAAACATGCCTTTCTTTGGAGAGGCAAGGACCTGCTGGCCAGTAGGCCATCCGTTGGACTTTGAGAGCTTCTCGAAGAAAATTGCGGCCTCGGCCAGCAGGAAGAAAACGGGGAGAGCAGACGGCAGCAGCATCACCGTCTCGATTATTGGTGACAGGACGCTGCAAACCAGAATACGTGAGGAATCACCGCACACAACAGCAAGGTCGAAACAACGCGTTTCGGTCCATGAACCGAGATGCTCGAAATTGCAACACGGCTGTTGGCAAAGGTGCCGATACGACAAGATAAGAACTTGACGAGTACGGTCGCGTCTGACTTCGGGCTTACCTCACCCCTTTTCAACAAGTCAGAGTCCAAACTGCCAGACCAACTGTTTTCACTAATGGCTGCACGAGGGACATTCCAAAGCGATGACAGGTCCACACCCGCCCAAAGACCGCAAAAGCGGGCCCCACCACCCAAGTACGTGTAGATAACTACCGGTACTAGGTACGGATAGATAGGTAGGTAAGCAAGCCACACACGTGATGAGAAACTCGATGGCGCTACAACCCAGGCTTTCGGGACTGACGGCCGAGAGTGACGCTGTTCGGATCGGTGCTGCGAATCCAACCATCTTCATGGGTGGAATATTCCTCCACACGCTTGACGTGTAGTCAAGTCTCCCTGTCCTCAAATACCCAATCAAACGAATGATGGCCAAAGGAGGGATTGGGTCGTACGTCCTTTGGACAATGTTCATCTTGGCTTTTCGCTATCATTGTTCCGACTTGGCTTGCAGCTGAGGAGAGAAGTCAGACGCCAATACTGGTAGAGTCTCTGCACCGCACCACGAGCCGGGTTTCATAGATGAAATAGTAAGCCTTTTCAAGAGCAAGTACGAAAGCCAAGCTCAAAGAAAGCTCGGGGGAGCCTGCCGATTCATAAACTAGTCTACAAACGGTGGGTTAGTTGTGTGCAAGTCTGGTATCGTATCTATATGTTGTAGGGTCAGTCAAATCATTTGCTCATACTTGTGTCAGTTTGCTGACAAAATGACTGCAAGCCAGCGGCGGGTTGGCTTTAGATCCTCTCTGCTCTGACGACAAATTGTGCCAGCCCGAGTAAACAGTTCCCCTCCAAAAGTCGAGACCTTGAAGGCAGCCTGAGAAATGACTGGTGACGTAATCAGTACTTGGTAGCAGTTCTCGGGCTGTCCAACCTGCACCATCCTCTTTCGGCCGGCCTGTTCCGTCGAAGCCCCCTTCTTAGCTGCACTCAACGTCATAGTCATGTGCATCCCCCTCCCCAGACCTACACTCGCCCACTTTCGCAACTGCCGATCGACCGATCTCGCTCATGCACTTCTGCACTGCTGCAAGGTTTCTTGGCGGCTTGGTGGACAATATGACGAACTGTGCGACACGAGACGAGAGCACCATCCTGGTCGTTGGCTGGCCTTCCGTTGATTGTGCCACATCGAGAGTCATCGCAGCCCGTCCCGTTTGCACCAGCTTTGACGTGATCTCATCTACACTAGTTCTCTGCGCCAGACGACCATCCACCAATGCGACAGGGGAGATGGGCAACCTTTGCTTCTGCCCGCCTACCAACTGCCTGCTTGCGATTGGTCATTCTGCCTTGCTTTGGCCTTGCCAAAGCCACCCTTCCCTCAACTCTTACGTACGGGCGAGCACAGAGGACATGGATAGTGCAAGAGTGGCTGCTAGGATGCAAGATAGCTGCCGCCTGGTAGGACCCTCCCTCTCTCGTCACTCTCACGATCCATTGGCTAGCCGACATACATGTGCCCTAGCGAGTTCGGTAAGGTGAGGCAGGTTGGACAATGGTGGCCAAGATATCTTTTGTTCTCCCTCGAGCCGTCGTACCCGTCCCGGCAGAGAGCGAATGCTGAGTTAACTGGTCCACGTCCTCGCTTGTCCTAGGAGGGGAAGCCTGCTGCCGCTATACCCACCAAGCTGCGGCGTTCGGGTGCTTTCTCCAGGAAGGCGGACGTAGAAAGTCTCCCGAGACCCTACAGACGTCAGACCTACCCAAGACTGGCTACACTTGCTATAAGAATCCTCTTTGGCATCCTCACCCCCTCCCTTGTAGAATTTCCGTTTCCCACGTAGACCCAACATCCAATAACCCGATAGCACGGCCACCCGTCCCAGACCCAAGTACTTTACTGCAAATAACATCCCAAATAGTCGACACGGTAGAACAAAAAGTCACATAGGACACTCTCTCAGCCGAATCGCGACCGATATGGAGACCATAACTACCATCACCAACGCGGCAAGCAAGGCCATTTGGGGTACGAACGAAGCCAATCAGGAGCCTGTTTCTGGTGTCAAGGGAAACACCAACCAGGGCGAACCGTATGATGCTGGCAACATTGGTATGTGAAAGTAGAAGTGTTGCGGCTTGCAAACCACCTAGCTCCCAAAGCCAAGTTTCTGACATTGAGTGAAGAAGATCCGCTGGCTAAGGAGAAGAAGGCCAACATAGCAGACGCCAATAACGCCTCTGGCACGACTGGGCCAGCGTTGACCTCTGAGCCCACTTCAACTACGGGCCTTACCACGAATTCTACTCCCAACACAAGCACTGCTTTAACCGAGCCAACTGGAGCCTCTGCAACAGACGATTCGTCAACGCACAAGTCGAACCCTCCTACGGAGAACACGTTGCCAGACAGGTCTCGTGCTACGGAAGTCACCACGCCCCACAAGTCATCTACGACTGGGGACTCTTCCGAGCACAGAGACATCGGCAAACCCGAGTTGAATAAAACTTCTCCCAGCGCTGCGCCTCCGGCCGATAGCGCCGCTGGCAAGACCGACACACGCGAACCTGCTGATCCGGCCACCGACCCTGCACCCAACGGCCAAGACGTCAGCAACAAAGCCTCCGGCCCCGTTGCTGGGGGTGATAAACTCGCCGGCCCGGGTCCGAGGCCTTTGGAGATCGTCGCCAAGGAGCGCGGAGGTGACGCCGGCAATGCCAAGGACTCGGCCAAGGGCGGTTTGGTGAAGGATGACTCAGCATCAGGTATCGAAGACAAAAACGAAAACGACCCCAGAGAGCCTAGCCACGGCGAGGGCACGGGTGAGAAATATGTCAAGAGTACTGGTCTGGCTGTTGATGGTGGTGACTTCGATGCAACCAAGCCTGGCGCCGGCCGCGAGGCAGACCGCAAGTGTTTCCCATGACGATACCTTCAACCCCAGCTAACACATTTCATTGTAGGCCTCCTAGACGAGAAGGACCCTGCTCACGCCGCTGCCAAGGCTGGCGGTAAGTCTATTAGTGACAAGACAAGCGACAAGACAAGCGACAAGACAAGCGACAAGACAAGCGACAAGACCAGCGAAGTTCGCACTCACAGCCCCAATTCGGGTACTGAGACAGAGAAGGAGAGCCTCAAGGACAAGATTAAGGCCAAGCTCCACCGCCACTAGGAGCCTGATCCAGCGACAGATCATTTGGACGTTTCCATATTATGCCAACAGTAACTGTAGTGCGAGCGTCGCGACGTAGCTTTCATGACGGCTGCTTTATTATGTTTGACAACCACAGTTGTAAACTCAATAGTAGTTAAGTCACATGTTACTTGAAGTTTTCGTGTGATTCATTACGAGGTGCATGTTTCGGAGAGAGGTATAGATACTCATGCCAGCCGTGGTTGCCTTCTGTAACATCACGCAGACATTCTCTCCCGTTCCCAGATATATATTATGGGGCAAGTGGCGTTTGGCCATTCCTCGTAGGTATCACGCTTGCGCTTGCATGGGGAACTTGTCCGGAAACCACTCTCGACTAGCCGTACTCCGATCCTTATTTCACCTCCAGCTCCCCCAACACAACACAACACCTCTATCTGCATGCTGGCGCCAATTAGGGGTGGCCGTGCCGCCCCTCCTCCCTAAATCCAAGGCAACAGTCGCACACGCGAAAGGTGACCCTTCCAACACGTCCCGTCATGGCCCCTGGTGGGATGTGAGTGTTACCACAATGGGTCGCTCGCTGACTGGCGCTCCCAGTCTTGTCGGTATCATGCTCCTGGGCAGTCTCTTACTTGCCTAGACGTGATCCAGGCTTTTGTGGCGGAACAAGATGGACCGGGTATTTACCCCTCTACTGCATCTGTGTCAAAGCAGACTACCTAGACGACACGCAGATTCTGTCTATATGAGCCAGCGCATCGACAGCGCGGTAAAAAAAGAACTAAAATAATAATAATACTGGAATGGCAAAGCCTACTGGGGAGAAACAAGAAGACAACACGCAGGCACATAGCAGTATATTATCTATAGGCCCATTTTCTTGCGCCAATAATGGCATATTAATTATTTTACTCGATTTTCTCTGATGTCTGAAATATCGGTACGACTAGGGGTAAAAGTAAAAGACTTTGTCGGCCGTTGACAGGCTGACTGGCCAAGACAAGAGTTGGTCCCTGCCCCTTTTCCAACATGACCGCTCTCAGCATGACTTTGAACCCAGAAGAATGAATAAAATAAACAAAATAAAATCCCGTTTTACACCAAGATTTCATTTCACTTCGTACTCTCTTTTTTTCGGTTTGTTGTTTATCCTTCCACCTCATCAGCCCCTTTTCCGTTTCCCGTCGTCGGTCTTCCGCGCCTGGTCAAATATGCATTATCGAGCTGGGTCTTGAATACACCAGCGCGCCCCTCCTCCATTGCAAGGGCACGCTGTTGGGGCTAGAGCCCAAAGGCCTGTGAGCCATACTTGTATGATTCATCACCAATCCATGTCCGTCATCTCTTGATATAGCGCCCGTCCGCTAGTTCTCTTTCTCCCTCTATGTCATAGAGTAGATAATCTTCGATGCTGAGTATGTCAACCCATTCACTGGCTGGTATCATGTATCGACATTGCTCCTCCGTGACTACGGGGCATAACTAGGTCACAACCCCTGCGACAGCAAGCACTGAGCAGGTAGTCGATGTATCAGCTAGGCCGTAGCCATACTGATGGGCCGGCTCGAAGGGTGTGGGCCTGGTGATTTTGTGCATCTTGCGCGTGCCATGATAGTCCCGTCGACGCGCGGGACGCCCGCCGACAGCAACAGCCAGATCATCCACACTGTTCCCTGCATGGACGAGGCGCAGGTGCGTCCCTCTCCGTTCCGGCAGTGACCGATCAAAGGAAACCAGATTCGGCAAGAACCCTGCATCGAAACCAAATAGAGTAAGCCAACGTCCTCAGTTTCAAGCAGATGAGTTGCCATAAATAAACAAAAAAGGGGGTTTCGAGGGCGCAGAATATGGCGCCGCCTCTGACAAAGTAGAAACGATGTTGGCTCATATATGTGCGGGTAAACCAGGCGATGGTCTCTAACCCGAAACCAAACTCCGTCGAATGCTCCGGGTCAATCTCTCAATGTTACGTACCTTACGATCTTTTCATCCTCTCGCTCGCGTGGCTCGACTTGCAAGCTCTTGTCGTACATCTCATGCACGTCTCCTGCGGCTTGCATATTGCTTATTATGTAGTCCTGCAGCTCTGGGACTGGTTGCAACGAGTACCCGACGGCCTGATACTGTTGGATATCACGGATTACTTCAGCCGTCTTCGCCCGCTTAGCAAAGTTGATAAGATTGGTCTTCTTGATGATAGATGGAATTCCGTCTTCAATGAAGGTTAAGTCGGTGAGGTAAACACCTAGAGGGCTATGTCAGCCAAGACTGTCCTGGCCCTGCCTCTCATGGAAGCCAAAGGGGGAGAAAAGGGTGCGCACCGAAGAAAGGAATGCATGGCGGGTTCGCCACATGCAAAGCCTCTCTGTACTCGCCAAAGTTCTTTGTACTAGCCATGAGCTTCCGCATGGTTTCTAAAACAGCCTGAGTCCGTTGCGGTACTTGGTCCCAGGTTCTCTTTAGACGGGCAATGGGCGCGGTGCCTAGAGCCGAGATGATCGACGTAAGTGTAGAAAAATTGTTGAGACTCCGGCATTTCTGTGTAATGTCAGTACAAGGTTCGGACCATCATGACAGCTGCGGGGTACTGCTTACGTCTGCGACAGCGACAAAGTGCTTGATGACGATGACACGCTTCTTCACATCCATTTGCGCCAAAATCATCTCCGCCACCCAGTTCGTCATCTGGTTGGAGTGCAAAATGAGCGCTTTTACGTTCGGTGCTGGTTCGGGCTCTCCATCAGCGACCTTCTTCTGCCATGTCTTGTTGAGACATTCGGTGGGTTTGATCTTCCCGTATAACCGCGACTCGATGATCGTAAGCTGACGAGCGAACTCAGTGACATCGATATCCAAGAACTTGAGCTTTTTCATGTTCTTGGGCATAATGGGCGATGGCGTGTTTTGGTTGAGAGTCTGGACCATGCGGCGGGCTCCGGCCTGCTGGCCGCTAAGCCTTTGATCCAGGACTGACATGAGGGGCGCGGAACCGGGCGTTTCTGTAGACTTGACGGTGTCCCGCGCAAAGGTGTAGACGTCCCGAATAAGTTGTTTCGACTCCTCGTTGTGCTCTTCCATCCAGAAGTTATCGAACCAACTCTTGAGAATGTTGACGACGCGGAAGCGAATGAGCTTCTGTTTCCTGTCCCGCCATGCCTCGAAATCTTGTTGAGATAGACCTTCGGGGGGCTGAATGCCGAAGCGGTTGACGAGAAGCTTGAACAGGTCCTGGGCTGTCGTAAAAGACCTGTATGTAAGAAGGAACGTGTTGTTAAAGTTGGAGTCCAACTTGTCGTGGCGCGTCAGCTGCTCCACAAGAGCTTCCAACGTGCCACCTTTGACAATGGGCGGCGTAAGCTTGTTATCCCACGCCAGATCTGGCTCGTGATCCAACTTGAGGAACTCCGGCGTCTCATCAACCGGAGGAACATTGCTCTGAGGGTTCGGATCGTCACCCAAAATCTTCTTAACTTTTGAGTAATCGCCCCCTCGGAAGTTTCCAGTATTGTCTCCTTCGGTAAATGACTGCGAAGTGATCATAGGAGGACGGACCGCTGTGGGAGTTGTCCGTGACTCAGTACGTTGGTGGGGTCGGTCATACGACATGGTATCTCCCCTGCGGACCTGCTCCCGCTGCATGGTGTCGTCCCTATGCCTAGACTCGACATGTTGCTGCATGTTAATTTGCACCTGTTCGGACAATAGTTGCAAGGAGAATCCAATGTGTGACGAGTTCATCTCGAGCGCCTTCGCGCATTGCCGGACGTACTCGAGACGGTTTTCCAGAGCTTCGCCTCGCACCTCGGCCCACTCGTCAGCCAAAGGCCCAGCTACAGCTTGGCAGCCTACCACGAGGTCTGAGATGTTGTCGTAAAGACTCTGCTTGTTGGCGGCAAAATCCGCGAGTTGAGGCGTTTGGAAGCTGTTTCCTAGAGACGAGAGATCGATGGACTCGATCAGAGCATACCATGGCTTGAAGGTCTCGAGAACCTTGCCCCCGGCCGAGCAGACATTGTTGCCAATGATTTCGTGCCTGAAAGGTGTGATGATCTTGTCCGCTACAACCAAGTTCTTGTCCAATTCTCTTATGCTGAATACAAGCATTCGCTTGAGTTCATCCAGCCTCTCGAGCAATTTCCCGTCCAGCATAGCCGTGGGCTCGACGACACCCTCCTCGTCTTCCAGAAAGTTCGCAGTGATAGGATCGCGTGATCCGAGGCCGTTGTTCTGCCAACTACCTCCTGTGGAACTGCCTATGACGAACCCAGGGAATAGTCGGGGGATCTCCTCTCCTCGTTGCTGCCGAGCGATCTCAACGTAGCTGAAAACTCCGAGCAGAACACCGTCAGCTTCCTGGAGACACTTCTGTACGGACTCGGCATTGGGCCAGTCTGCGGCAGCGATGTGAGATGAAATCACGAGTTTGGAAAATTTGGACATCATGTCCCTGAAGTGAGGGTAGAGAGCTTTGTTTGTCGAAATGATGGAGGGCTGGCCAGAATGGTTGTCAGTTGTGCCAGACCCAGCAGCCAAAAGTAACCTAAGGTGGTCAGAAATGTCCTCAGCGCGTGCGACATATTCAGAGCGGTTGTTGCTGGTAATGGCATCGCGATAGCGATCCACAGCCCGACGCATGTTGGAAACCAGGCGCGTCCATGTCAAAGGCGGCGCGGAGCCGTCGTCGAAGAAAGAACGGGGCACGGTGCTGGTTGGCGGCGTATTGTATGACGTGCTGGTAAACGAAGTAGCCGATGCAATCATGGGTGTGGCACTGGGCGCTAGGTTCGGGTTCAGATACGCCTCATTCTTGCCCCTGGAAACTTGCGCAGTACCGCTTATGGAGTCCATCGAAGTAGAAGGGGAGAGCATTTCGCCGCGAGAGCGACGATTGCGAGGCTGCCATAGGCATGCACCGGTCAGCACGAATACGTTTCTGGGGAACCACCAGGTTCAAGGAATGTCAGTCTTACCAGAGATCCGCGGGAAGCAAGCATCAGCGACTCGCCCTCCAGTTCGGAGGCGGAGTTCGCTTCCGAATCTTCGTCCTCGTCTTGTGTCAAACCCCTCGCCATCATCTCTGGAGGGGGTCGCGTCTTCTCCGGCACGCTCACGTTCATCCTGTTGCGTGGCCCTGTCTCGTTGGTCGAACTAGGAGACTCTAAGGGTAGCTCCATGCTCCGGTCGCCCGTCATCATGTTGTAGTAGAAGAGACGACCATCGGGGGTTGCTTGCGGGATCCAAAAATCAGCCCTCGATTTGTCGCCTAGATCTGTGCCCTCAAGCGGCAGGCCGTTGGGGTCGTCCAGTTCCGACTCGTCATCATCCTCTAGCTGCTCATCGTAAACCTCTTGGTTGTCCTCCTCATCGTCGACGTGGTCGAGTTCGCCGTTCTGGTCCTGGTCGGGGATCTCGTCGGTACTCGTCACAATTTGGCAGTAGTTGCTTGGAAACCAGCCGCGCACACCGTTGATAACGCCGTCCCACCAGCCGGATTCGAGCTGTGTGATAACTTGGATGACATCGCCTTCGTGAAAACTAAGACTCGTGCGGTCGTCGGCCTCGTAGTCGTACAGAGCTCGGACGTACATGGTGCCTGGCGGGGCGGTCCCCGCAATGCCGTTCATCACGGACGAGGAGGAGGTGATGGCCTGGGAGTAGGGTGAGTAGGCGTGGCCGACGCTGGATTTGTCCAACGCCGGTGGAGACTGGTAGTACTGGTTGTTGTGTTCGAGATTGAGGTTTTCGCGCGAGGGCTTGTTGCGTGGATTGTAGTTGTTTTTCTGACCCTGAACTAGTGCCGGCACTGCGGTCTGTGTCATCAGCATGATGAGGCGGTCGCGCTGATAACCCAAGGAGGGGGAAAGGGTCAAGTCATGATCCGGACGAGGATTCTGCTCTTCTGGTTGCTTAAGTTCGCCCAGCGTCAAGGGAAAGGACCGTCAATCGTGGGAGGCTCGGGAGAAGGGACCAGAGAGCTGCGTTGTCGGGGTCGGGGCGACGAGTTGCTGAGGTTGCGGAAATCCACAATCAAGGAGTCGCAGGTTTGGAGCAGGGGGCGGTGGGCTTCCCAAGTTGCGGGGGGCGACGTTCGTCTCGTCTGGCAACAGGCGCGGCCGTACGGTCGGTGGAGCTGGCTCCTTTGGCGCCCAGGCTGATACTGATGCTGACGCTGGTGATTGTTGCCGTCGTTGTCGCTGTCGCGTTGAAGAATTTGAGCGAGTGGCTCACGACGAAAGACGCTGACTGGTGGGGTGAGAGAGAGGGTGGTCGGCGGGTAGAGAGAGTCGTGTTGAGGGTGAAGGGCGGCGATTCGCTAGGTATTTTGCTCGCGTCGGGTGTGCTGGGCAGCGGGGACGGGGACCGGACAGGAGGGGGGATTGGAGAGAAGGATCGCCTGATGAGGGAAAGCCCCCGAAGGACCAATGTCGCCTAGGCGATCTCTGGGCGAGCGTATCAGAAGGTCTCTGTAAATGCCTCTCTTCCTCCTTATTCTTTTTCTTTCCTCTATCCCCCGGCTTCCCGTAGGTGAATCTGTATCGACGTAGCCCTGTGTGCGCCGTTCAGCTGTTGAACAAGAACAAGATTACTCTTGGCTATTTGGTGTGTATTCTATCATTGGCGTCTGTTGTTGTCTTGGCGGTTGTGGTGGCTCTTGTGGTGTGGTGTGGTGCGGTGCGGTGCTGTGCCGTGCTGAGAGTGGTAGCCTGTGGCCTCGGACTGGAGGTGTCAAGTCTGCTGAGGCGGCTATTGTGGATCGATAGCGATGGCAGCCAAGGTACCTCGGGGGACCAGGTGCGGGTATGGGCCTTCCCTCGTGAATTTCGGGAGTAGGCGGTATCTCTACCTGAGAGTGTTAACAAACGAGATGGTGGGCTCGGACTCGTGAGTGCATTACACTAAAAGATGGCCGGCCGTACATATCTCCTTGTGGGTGCTGCACAGTGGAATACTCCCAGCGGATTTGTTCTCCTCACCTTTCTCTCCCTGCCTGCCGTGTCGTTGTAGCGAATCTCTGGCACTCTGACTAAGCTCTCATTGGCCAGGCGAGCCCCCATTCACCCCTTTCCTTGAGGAAACACAACTGGAAAGTGAGAGGTGCAGAATATAAAGGCAAGGAACCTGCTTACTGCGTAAAGGTAAATTGAAATACCTAGGTATGTATCTACTTACCTACCTATCTAGTTAGGTAGGTAGGAAAACCTCACTGTGTGCGAGTGTGGTTCATGGCTCACTTCACTTGGTGGTGTGGTAGCTTGCCAGACAGACTTCTTAACTTGAGCAAAGGGGTCGGTCGGGCGTCATTATCGTCATAGAACAGCGTATACTCGCTCACTATATTTGAGGGCCGAGTCGCTGTCCTCCCCCTCCTTTGTTACATTGAATCAAGAAATCCATCACACCCTCAATGGCACGGGCAAGCAGACCAATCCGGCAGTCTTGCAATTAGTTCTATAGTCTGTCCGATAGCATCGCTTTCGTCATTTACAGCATGCATCCAAGACAAGAAGCCGTTTCCACGTACCCGAGAGGGGGCAGATGCGACAACCTAAGAGAAGAGTAAATCTTGACACTGTGAAGCAGCCTGGTGCAGGTGCAAGGGCTACCTTACACCGATGTGGATCCGACCCAAACTAAAAGACATGATGTACGGAGTACAGAGTATCCGTACTCCGTAGATACCTACCTACCTAACCTACACCTACCCTTGTAGGACCCGACAAATCACACTGTGTTGACACACCATCATAGGACCCCCCAACGCCCTTCTCAATTTTTTACTTCTCTACGCACTGTACCGGATCTAAGGAACATCATCACGGCTTGCTTGTTGGAAAGTACCAATTGCGCGCTCTCCGAATATCTGACCAAGTCCTGCTGCTCTCTAGGTAGGTCTTCCAATTGAACGAAAGAGCCAGCCAAAGAGGTAGCTTACTAGACCGAGGCATAATCTCTCCTTTGGCGTGCCTGAGACGTTGAGCCCAACTCGGAGAAGCCGATCCGACATGAAATATCGATAGCCTCGGTTGTAACTGCGTTTCCGACTCCGTTGCCTGATTGATGCCTCTTTTTTTTCTTCTCCTATCTGAGGTGAGGTAGCCATCGTTTGAACTCCTTACGCTTCTCCAACGGCCTGACCATCAGCTGCCAATCCGGCGTAGGCTACGTCGTTGCAGCTTCGGTCCGTCCGGATCATGTACGACTCTACCTTGGATAGAGTCCTGCACTTTGGTGTTCGCATTCCATCAGTTGACTGAAGGGCCATGAGACTGAGCAACGAACCAAAGCCCCGTTGCGGACAAGTACAAATGGGCGCGGCACCCTCAGCCATACAGCGTCCGTCTTAATAGTCGAGCCACGGTGGGTGGGTGTTGCCGATTCGATCAAGCCTGATGGTCATCCGAGACAGTCTTGGCACAAGATGCGATGTGTCTCATTTCCTTTTGCTCTGTTGGCGTGGCTCGAATGTTTTCAAATCTTGTTGGCGCTCCTGGCTCACGTCGTAGTCAACGGGCTCCGTGCCGTGACCAGGAGGCCTTTTTGTAGCGATCGGGGCGGTAGGCATTGCGCAGCACCTACATTGAGGTCAACCCTGTGATGCACTGCTGCTGCGTCCGGAATGGATCTCAGAACGGTCCCGAGGGGACGCTGCGAAACCAAGAAACGAAATGCGCACCGCTCTGCGGGTTCGAGCACAGGCCTGCAGCCTCCAGCTGTCTGAAAACAGGCAGGGTACGTGTTATTCTTCTGTGTGAAAGTCGCCGCTCAGGGAGATGTAGTGGGGTGAGCGGTAAACTTGAGTAAGCAGGATAAGAAAAAGGATTAGAATAATTGGGATTGGAAAAGGACGCCGAACTTACCTCAGCGCGCAGGACAGGATGCGTACGATGCAAGGCATGATGCGATGGACGCGCCTTATCAGAGATTCTCCAATACCTAGTCCATGAGCCGGTTCGATGATCGTCAGGGGTGAGCCGCTAATCGCCTTCAGCCTCACGCTCAGGTTGCTGACCGCCTCGCCGGTTACAGTTACTGGACGAATAGTCCACGAAGTGCTGCGCGAGGATGCCTGATCAAAACGAAGACTATTTGAAGAATGAGATCGTCCAAATGAGGGCTTGCCCGCGAGCTCCGTTGAAATCATATATGGCGCGGGGTTGGCGGTTAGAACCTGCATGCCTCGAGTGTCCACTCCTGTCGCCTCGCATATTGTCATTGACGATTGCCCATGGCAACTGCCACTCTGTTGCGCAATACCGTCGTTTCCACGAGGCGCGAGACGGGGACAGGGCGGGCCCGAAGGGCGTCCGGGACCAGCGGATGACCGGGGGGGAAGAGACCAGTCTTGCCGGTGTCTGGAAAATCTGAAGCACCCTGGAACATGCCATTAATTAGACCAGCCCACTCGTCTCCACCAAATCGGTTCCAGCAGTTATCCCAGTGAGCGGAGAACAAACAGACGCTACCAACGGGGGAACCGGTTAACCGGAACCGTGCCGCGGCGTGGTGGCCCTGCTCCATGCCATGCCCAGACTTGGAGGTGCCTCGAAAGCGGTGGCGGGCCTGCCCCACTACCTATGCTGAAGGGTTCCCGAAGGGTGGTTTTTTTTATTCTCTTCTGTCTAATAGCACATTCTCCCCCTTTGTCACATTGTCCTTGTCAGGATTGAGGACTGAGCGCATCGCCGTGGAGCGGCAGTTGATGGGTTGCTTCCTTGTGCAGCAGAACCGCCTTGGAGAGGCGTGAGACAGAGGGGTCCAGACCACGACTTGCATCGTGACTTTATCAAGAACAAGACCCAGCCGCGAATCAACCAGAACAACTGCGACAGTGACGCAGAGTTCGCCCGTATGAATTGGCAAGTCATTAGTGGGGTCCCGACTTGGGTCAAGTCGGTCTCTAGGTCCTGTATGAAATCCAACTGACTAGAATGCCAATGTTGCGGACGGGAGAAAAAAAAAAGGAAACAAAATGGGGGGGAAAATGGAGTGCCGGACTGGAGTACATTGTTTAGCTTCCCTACGCGGGTACCCCCAATCGTGACCAGGCTTGGTATGCGGGTGCTGCAGGACTGGAAAAGAGGTGAGTGATCAAGGTGGAGGATGTACGGCACCGGGTTGAAGGCTTATCAATGCGCGGCTAGGTTGACGATCAGAATTCATATCGGTGAGCTCGGTTGCATTCCCGCTTCATCGAGTCGGCGGCTGACAACGTGTCTGCGGACCAGGTAGAGGATGTCGGCATCGCGGAGAGAGACGTGGCATTGGAGCAACTCGGCGTAAAGTTGGCTCTTCGCGCGTGGGCGGTATCGCAGTGCGGCTTCCGGATCCTAGCAAACAAAGCGCATGTTGACAGTTAGCCCGTTTGCCCGCCATTTCGAGCCCCCACTCCGACATTTCGTCCTTCAAGGCTGACAAGGTGAAGACGCATTTGCAAGGACTCACCGCATCGTCGGTGCTCGACCGGTGATGCCATGCCCCTCTACCGTCATGCATGTGGTAAGGGTCCTGGCGGGTTTGCACTGGTCTTTTCCTACGGTCCAGGGACTCCGGAATCGCCAGGTCACGGCATCGACAGGGGGGTCTAGGGGCGGTGACCGTGTAAGTGCCAGCAAGTGAACGGGTGAGTGGGCAATGTCTAGGACAAGCATCGGCAGCACGCAAACGAACTATACCTGACAGCGAAACCTGGGTCAAAGCGAATACGTGAGAGAGGGGGGAGAGGAAGAGGAGGGGCAAGGCCCGGTGGTTGAGAGTTCGAATTAGACGTCAAAGAGGGGGAGGGCAAAACTCGGAGGGGAGATTCTGAAGTGACGAAAGGACAGGCTCCCTAGCAGCAGCGCCAGGGTGTGTGAAAGAAGGCGAGGCCGAAAGGGGAAGCCGACGGGGCATTGAGCATGGCAGGGCCAAACGGATATTACCAGATTATCAGAGTGGATGGGCGAGGGCGTTTGGATTCTTGAGATTGGAGACATTCCCATCGGAATGTAATCAACACCCCTCAGAATTCGAGACTTCAAGCGTGGGTAATTACAGTGGTTTACCAACATGCCTACCTAGGTGATGGATGGGGTATTGCAATGGAAGCAATGGATCCAGTCATGGAAGCCACGGAGAGATTGTGTAACTCGCTTAGAGCCTGCCAAAACGGCATCGGGTACGTACCGCCCGCTTATAGTTTACATTGTTCTCAGATTAGAATGAAGGAAGAAAATGAATCAGAGAGGACTTGGGACGACGGGAATGAGAGGTACGTCGGGCCATGTACCGGTGTCTCGCTGTGGGGGGCCTGGAACCTGTATGGATTCATGAAGACGTATCCGTCAAATAAAATAAAATGAAAAGTAAACGATCCTGCGCCGCACTTACATAGAGGGAGCCGCCGACACGACAAGCAGAGGCTGGGGGTAAGGAAGGATGGTGGCATTTTTGCGCTGGTACCAGCCTCACATGTTTCCCTTAGCCCTTTCTTTCTTTCTTTCTTTCTTTCTTTCCTTCTTTCTATGGTTGGTGACACATTTGTTGGACACCAACTGCATCCTGATATGCAAGTCAAGTCAGAGTGGATGCCATCCAAATATCCCACGTATGCCACCAACACTCAACACCCAATGAGACGCTCAAGCGGCAACGTCGGTGGCTGACAATCAAGGAGTCCATCAGTACGCTGCAAGCTGCGATGGCGAGAGAGAAAAAAAAAAAAAAAAGCAAACAACAAACAGCAAGCAAACCGCCCAAGCGCATCGCAATTGCTGCCAAGCGCAAGGGGTAATAGGAGAAGCAGGGTTGAAAAATTTTCACGTCCGAACGAGATACGCTAGAATATGAGAGACAACGTCAAGATCTCACAAATGCAAAGCTAGGAAAAAGGAAGCAAGTACGTTAGGAGTCTGAACTCAGGACCAAACCCGCGCAACCCCCACCCCCTTCCCCCCCCTTTTGTGTGTGTGTGTGTGTGTGTGTGTGAATGGGCGAAGGGTGTGAAGGAGGGGGAGGGGGAGGGGGAGGGGGAGGGGAACGAGGGGCGCGCCACTGCGAAGACACTCATGAATCGGGACAAGGACGACGTCGACATCATCTCGTTTGACGAAGATCGCGGGAGCGTATCCGTAGTGGCCGTGTTGGAGCTAAGAACGCTTGCCGCCTTGATCATTCCACTTGTCCATTGCCCATGTTCAATTTTGCGATAACGACCTCGGGCGTCCATCCAGCACCTGGATCCGTGTTCGCATAGTCCATGCTTCGTATTTTTATTTTATTTCCCTCCAGATCGAGCAGTTGTCTCATGTCTGATGTGCTACTGGTGACCGGAATTTGAAGGTACAGGTAATAAAGGACGGGATTTCTCGACACTAGGGGAGACGACCCGCAAACCCGCCTCGCCTGGATGGGTGGCCTGTTGCTTTGGCGGTCGACTTCTCATCTCGAATCGCATCGGGTTCAGACCGCCTGTGAGGACGAGAACGTGCGCGAGCATAGCTGTTGCATCCTGGGCAATAGTGGCCGACTCCCTAGAATGTTTTTGTACAGATTGTCAGTGTTTGTTGTGTCCACTATCCATGACCCATCGCCGCGACACCGACCTGTTGGCAAAGCGTCCCACTCTCTCGGACGGGTAGCAGTGACGCGGGTGCGGTAGAGTAGAGTGGTAGTTTAGTACCCGTACGGATGGCAGGTGCGGATCTCCTCAGCCAGCCGTGCCGTCAGTCGCGGTTCGTGCTCGTCGCGTCTGGTGGCGTGTCGCCTGTTAAGCGGTGATTGGCGCAGGCCAGCCGAACAGGCGCGGCGCGCAAGATAGAAAATGCCAGTTTCGCGTTTGGCCCACGTCGATGTAACCCCAATCCCGAGGCGACAATGGTAGGAAATGAGGAGGCTCCACATGACCGCGCGGGCGGCCACTTGCATCACTCCGGAGACCCACTTGCCCATGTCCGGGCTGCGAACGCCAGCAGAAGGTGCAGCAGAAAGACGTGGAGGAGGAGGAGCTGGTGAGCACCAGCGCGTGTGCCAGGCCGGGCAGGTGCAAGAGGAACGGCGGGTCGAGGGTGTGGAACCGACCGGGGAGGGAATTCCAGGTAGGTTCCCTGTGCGTTTCCACCAGTCGCGTACTCGAACTGGACTTGTGAAGACGAGGTACTCCGTACACAGGGATACCTCTGCTCACCGCCGCAAGTGACAGGCTTCCACGGCCACTAGCATGCAACTTACCGACGCGCGTTAGTGCAGCTTCTCAAGACACGTATCGACCGAGTACCGGAGCTATCTTAGATACCTACTCTACTACTAGGGACCGGGTGACGGGGTATTTGCCCATTGGCCAGGGCGAGGGCGTCCCGGTGGGAATCTGGCCATGGTGCCTACAGGTGCTACTTGAGTACCTAGGTACCGAGGTAAGCTGGGCTTATCCGTCTTCTTCCCCGTTGAATGCCTATTCTACAGGTACCACACGGGAGTAACCTGCCTCCCCCCTTTTTAGCTGGCCTACCTGGTACACTACTACACACGTAGGTAGCTTCCGGCCACACACATGGCTCGGGTAGACCCTAGGCAGTACATAATTAGCAGCTGGCTGCCTATGGTCTTCTTGATAGGGCATGGTATCCGTCTCAGTGCGGCAACCTTGGAAGGTGGGATACAAGACGGAGAGGGGCAGGCCGTGACTAGCAAGACGGGACAGCGTCACACCGATGAGGTGTGGCTTCACGAGAGCAATGGAAGGCGGAGGGGATCATGGAATCATTGGAAGCTGTGGGAGTGTTCCTCAGCAGGCCCCCCGGGCCCTTTCTAAAACCTTCCAGTCTCCGGGGCTGGTGCGAAATTGCCAACCAAATCGGCGGTCCGGGATATGGCGAGACTAGGCCGGGAGGGGCAGCGAGTGACCTTGAGAGAACTCCATTGCCCCGGGTCGCTGGCGATTGCAATCTCCTTTTTCCTCATCACTTTCCTTTTGCCTCAGCTCTTAGGTTGTCCGGCTGCTCCCCCCCCCATGCCAAAACTCGGAAGACTCGACGTCAGTTTCCGTTCGCTCTCACCTCTTTGGGCAAGCTAATCGATTTGTCTCGCTTGACATAAAAGAGGAACACGGTGAAAAATGGAAATGATGCATGTAATGCGAAACTGGTGGCGGACGGCGCGTACCGGACAGCCATCTGTACCTGTCGCTGCATGCCTGCCACGGTACACACATGTAGGTGTAGGTAAACGCATGGAGCGGGAGGAGCTTACCGTACCTCTCTTTCAGCTGCGTGTCTAATAGCATGGATTCCACTCGTCACCGCGCATTCACTTCCCTCCCCTTTCTCCTCCTTGCCTCTATCTTTCCTCTCTGGCAGAAATAACTTCTACGTGTATGCACAGCGCAGCGGGTGCTAGTCCAGCTAACTACAATATTCAGTGCATTCGAGACCAGCACCGCGGTGCTTATCATTGCGTCCCACCGCCTTGGTCCTGACCCAGTAAACCTGGGATATCGAGCCTGCCTGGCCTGCGTTGGGTTATGCTTCCTACCTTTGCTGTGCCGCGGGCTGAGCTGGCTCACCGGCTGGCTCGATCATCATGGACACACGCCCCCTGAGGTCTTTGGCCCTCGGCCTCGTACGTAGCCCTGGACAGTGGGTGCATCCCAGCAAAGATCCCTGAGGTGCCCCATAACCCGGCCGCCCGCCCTTTGGGTGCCCCTGCCATGCTTCTGTCGGCGACGAAGGGGGCGTTTTGGTGTCCAGATTCGGCTAGTTATGCTCCGGACGGGTCGGGCGCGTACCAGGCCTGGATTCCTGTCCGCCTCAATCCACCATCCCGCGGCACGAAACCGAGCGCCGTGACCCTGATGAGGATAGTTGATGGTGGGTGTGGATGGTCCTCGAGGAGCAGTGTGGCGTGCGCCGTGAGCTCCAAGCCAAGCCAGCATCCGTCGTCAAGTGTGTCCGTGATGCGCGGTGTACTGGTGTGGCGAGAGCCGTTCATATGTGTCTGCTAAAAGTAGACGGGCCGTAGCGGCGAGAGAGCAGCGTCCTTGTCGTGGGTGAAATTTCATGATCCTCGAAGTTAATCACGGGAGTGCCAGTGGCCTGCCTTCGAATGGTTGGTATTCAGCCCCTGACTTTTTTTTCCTTTTTTTCCATCTTGTCTCTTCCTCTCGCGTTCGGGGGCCCTTAAAAACGTGTCTTGGATTGAGGTGGCGACAAGACCCCCAGTTCGATTGCTCGTCTCTTTTTGTGTCAAACGAGATGATAGTACTATACTACGATACATTTCACACGGCTATAAGAAATTCCCTGAAATTAGCCAGAGGTGTATTGCAGGGTTGGTTACTCCTGAGGCTTCCGTGAGCTTGTTGAGTCGATGAGCGATGGCCTTTGTAGCGTGTCCGTAGACTCGTGTCGTCGAGAGGGGTGGGAAGGACGTCCCGATCGAAAGCAAGGTGGCTGACAAGAGTGTGCAGCCCTGTACCTCTCTGCAGACTTGCGGTGGTGAGTGACAAGGAACCGGGATATTTTGAAAGCTGCTTACATAGCTCCGCGTCTCCCTTCCCGTTCCCTACCTGTCTATCCGTGATAGGACATCTAGGAGACACCTGCGTTCCATCAATTAGCAGCAACATGTAAGAATACGTAACTATGGAGACAGGGACAGTCACCTACCTATGTACTACCTACATTGTATATAGCCGAGGGGTGCATGTACGAGGGAGTCCTCTCGTTCGGTTGGTTGGGGGATTGGCTGGTTTTCCTTTTGTGGGCTGCTATGCGTGCACCAAAAGGTAAACGCAGCATCGGCACAGTCAGCGAGGGTAGCGTAGCAACAGCAGCACAACAAGTTCAGGCAAAAGGAAAGAAAGACAGAGGCAGAGGCAGAGGCAGAGGCAGAGACAGGCAGAAGATGAAGCAATGGCAGGACAGCAGCAGCACTCACCGTATCTCAACCAAGTTGCCCCTCACTATTTTTTTTTCTTTCATTTTTTCTTCTTCTTTTTTTTTTTTTTAATAGAAGCGGCAGCCAGATACACACAGAAGCAGCATAGCGGACAGATGTATGTAACACGACACAGTACAGCAACATGATTCGCACCACCAGCACCTTACCGCACCGGCGCCGTGGGCCAGCTCATGTCGCGCCCCCCTCCCTCCTCTACAGCTCGTGACCATGTCGTAGACGTGGACATGGGCGTCGTGGTCCGCCTGGCTCGCCCTGCTTCGGGTTCAAGGTTAGCTGGTTGCCGGTTGCTGTGCTGTGCTGCGTTGTTGGCCCGGCTGCTTGGGGTGTGCCGGCCCTCCTTGGCCTGTCGTCTCCCCCTCCACTCCCACCTCACCTCCCCTCCCCCTCCTACCACCCCACCAGTAACTCACACATCCCTCCCTTGCTCATTCTGATATGGAGCACGTCGGGACCGGTCCTTTTTTTTTTTTTCCCCCTCCCCCCTTTCGTTTTGGGGCCCGGTGAACAAACACTGGAGCCCGTTCCAGCTCTCTAATCCCTCTCTCGATGTGTGCATTGCGCAGTCCCCCCCAAATCCATCACAGCCACTAGCCCCCGTATGGGACCCACTCTGTGCCACTAAGACTGATGTACCTCGCAAGTGTCCCTGATATGCTTGCTCACCTGTTCTATTGCATGGCTTGCCCGAGGTACATCGTTCTAGTTACCTGACCCGACCTTACTAGACCTTACCTCACCGTGGACAGGTCGGTACCTCAGATTGGGGCATTGGATCACCCGTCAAGCACGTACCCTCCCAAGTACTTGCTGCTGTCCGCCTGTTTCCCTTTTGCTTACAGTAAGTAGGTAGGTGGATAGCAGGAGAGGGAGGGAGACGGGAGGGGGGGGGGGGGGGGGGGGGGAGGTACCTCATCCCAAGTACCGCGTTTCCCAGCTCCGGGCCAGCGTGGTCTTCCTTCTCCCCTCTCTAGTAGGTGCTGCACCCTCCCCCTCCTTCCGCCCTCTCTCCCGTGCTCTCTTGCTGTCTTTCTCCCCTTCCCCCTCCTGTCCCAGCGTGTCCACCCCTCCAATACACGCAAGAATCCCTCCCTCTGTCGCAGTTCGTGTCCCCACCGTTCTCGCCAGAGACGCCTCTTTTCCTCCTCCTCCCCCTACTACTTTTTCCTCGACTTCCCCTCTTCCGTTCTTCCCTCCTCCTCTTGCGATCATCATCCATCCCCAACACTCAACGCGCGCACTCCTCGCCCACCACTACCCATCATCAAGCCTTCAGCGCGCCTGTCGCTTCCAGACACGCCGCTTTCCAACACTGGCTTTACGCCAGCTTCCCCCCCTTCAACCACTTAGACGTCCTTCCCATGACCAGGATATCGAACCAAATGACCAGCAACATCCACCAGTCTAATCAAGACACACTTTAAACCCCACGGGAGCGCGCCGAGCGAGGAGGAACCCTAGGAGCCAGGCGATTTCAACCATCGTTTTCAATTCGAAGAGAGCCGCAGTGCACGTCAAGCCTCCCGCCCATCGTCCTTGTCGCCAAACCTCGCCGTCGCCGTCGCAATAGCTGGCCCAGCCACCTGACAATATCCAGACGCAGAAGAGAAAAAAAGAAGAAAAAAAGCCTCCGCGACCACGACCGCGATCCTTCAAGATGCCCGGCGCAAGCGTTGCGGTTCTTCCCACGTCCGCTTCATCAACGCCGACCTCGCGCAAGACTTCACTCGCCCCGGAACGCAAATACAAGTGCCAGTTCTGTAATCGAGCCTTCAGCAGAAGTGAGCACCGTAGTAGACATGAGCGGTCCCGTAAGTCATTCTCTTTCCCGAACCCCTCTCCTCCCCTCCCCCTCCTACATCCCAAAGCTTCCTCTCGACTGGGTACCCCTCGCATCGATGAGCAGCCCCTCCCTGCAACTCTTCGCCGATGCATCCATCATGCAACAACACGCAATACAATAGCGGGAGGGGCACTTGTCATCAACTCCAGTCATTCAGTATATTGACTCTTCATAGATACCAAGGAGCGCCCTTTCAAGTGCATGAAGTGCCGTAGCACCTTCGTCAGACGCGACCTTCTTCTCCGACACGATCGCACCGTACATGCCAAGGATGGGGGCGTCCCTCTTCACAGTGATGGCAAGAGACGTTCGGGTCCCAAGACTCGAGCCATTGGCGGTCCGGCAAAGACACCCATGCTTGATCAGTCCGCTTTAGATCAGATCGAGGCTGCATCTCATGACGGCACCTTCGACATTGAGACAGCTGCCATGCTTGTCGCCGACTTCCAACACAAGGCCGCGGCTGGCGCGCGCTCTGGAGGCAGCCCTTCGATGCCCTACTCGCCACATGCTATGGAGGCCACCGTCACGTATCCTTCAGGTGCCATCCCTGTGCCCCAATGGGAGAGCTTCATATCGCAGTCGTCCGAAGCCAAGGCACACTCCATCGCATCATCGGCATCCGGTTCCTTCGAGTCCCAACAGTCCTTCAACAGCACAAGCACCATGCAGCCTAGCAACGTTCAGCTCCCGCCCATCAATGGCCAAACGTGCAACGGCCTCGTCCCGGCACTCCAGTCCATGATCAACTCCCTGCCGAACTCCGGAGCTGGTACACCCGTTCCGCAGAGTCCCTTCATTACTGAAGCGACATTGTCCGCCGCTGGTTTCCGGGCTCCTCAGGTTGCGAACGACGATGAGCGAAACCTGATCCTCGACAATATACGTGCTCAAGACACGGAGCACGCCATTCCCGAGGGATTCCGCCTTCCCAACCTGGCCTCGCTGAACCGATTCTTGTCCACGTACTTCGGGCTTTTCCATCATCATCTCCCATTCCTGCATCCCGCCTCCTTTGACTCGACTAAGGTGTCCCCCGCTTTACTTCTCGCGGTGCTGAGTATCGGAGCACTCTATGCGTTCGATCAGGATCAGGCCTACATTCTCCACATTGGATCCAAGGTGCTTGTCAACCAGTTCCTCCAGAACAAGGAGAACTTCAGCTCACGCAAGTGTCCGCTGTGGACGATGCAAGGTTCGCTTCTCAACATGATCTTCGCCAGCTGGAGCGGTGATGCGAAGGGACTTGAGTGGGCTTGTTCCATCAAGAGTTTGCTCGCCAACATGGTGGCTGGAAACCGGTATGAACTCAAGCTTCGCCAAGAGGCTCGCTCGGGTGCCCATCCCACTCGCAACGAGTGGATCGAAGACGAGGGCTGCCGACGCACCTACTATGCCGTCTATATCTTCTTTGGTTTGCTCACCCTGACGTACAACCACACGCCGGCTATTAGCTTCAACGAGTTCGAGGACCTGCAACTTCCTTCTACGGAGGCGCTCTGGAACCTCAAGGTTGCAGACGAGGCCGCTTGGCACGAGCATCTGAAGGCATCTCCTGTGGTTACTTTCATGGAGGCGCACGACAATCTGTTCCAGGGAGAGACACTCAGGTACAGCGCGTTTGCGTCGCGTGTTATGATCAACGCCCTGTTCCTTGAAGTCTGGTACCACAAGCGCAGTCCGGAGGCATTACAAGATGTTGTGACCGAGTACAAGCTCAGACTCGCGCTCGAGACGTGGGAGAAATCCTGCGAGCTTTGCGAGCCTGAGAACGTCGCGGTTCCATTGAGTGCTCCCCACAAGGGACACCCCCTCATCTTCAATGCCAAGGCCATGTACCGAAATGCGCGAGCCCGCCTCGAGGTCGATCTGAAATCTGTGCAAGAGGCATTGCGCTACCATGATTCCTATGAGGTCGCAGCCGCCATGTCAAACGCGCGGGATCGCGTCAAGCGCTCGAGCGAGATGATCAAGGTGATCCAGGAGTGTTACAACTGCATTGAGATTGCTGTAGTGCAGGGTGTGCGCTGGGTTGCGCGTACGTCACCGACGAATTGGAGCGTTGAGCATGCCTTGTGTGGTCTTGACCTGATGATCGTCCTCTCGCTCTGGCTCTACCGTCTGGAACATGACGAAGAGCAGGCTACTGAGGAAGAATTGGCCATGTACAACAAGGTTCGGCTGCTCTTCGACAAGGATCTCGATGAAGCGTACGCAACCCAGCTCAGTTCTGTTGTTGCTCGTCTGTGGGGCAGCATGCTGGACGAGGTCGTGGTCTGGGGGTAAGTCACTTGTTTATTCATCGTTTAGAAGGGGAGACTGACGGAATTGCAGAATCACTAGGCTCATGGGCGAATCCTTCCGTCTCCATGCCCAAGCCCTTGTTGGCTACGTCGACGACATGGAAGCATCCTCAAGTGTTTCTACCCCTTCGATGATTTCTCAAGGGGCTGATGAGGACAGCGTGTACTAGTTTCGAGATGACTGAACGATTTCCTATGTTTTTCATTTTGTTTCCTTGGGCTTCGTCTCTTTGGCATATACCTCTTCGTCTGGCGGATGAATTTCTGGCGTAACGGATTTGGAGTGGTTCATTGAACACTCCCTCTCGGTCTGAGGCTTTTTCCCCTTACGTACGTGGCAGGGGAACAGGCGTCACAGATGAGAGGTTTTTGATTTTGGGACGGCCATCGCGCATCATATTCCAGTTTGCTCGGCTGGGACTTTGTTATATTTTTCCTTGGCTTGGTTTTCCTTTTTGAGCGTCCCAGCATTGGACTTAGTCACGGGCGATAATGGGGCCGGTAACACGAAGGATGGTTGGGGGCATGGGGTTCGGCACGGATTCCTGGGTAAAGCAAAACCTAGGGGATTGGGGAAATTCGGGCCCTGCTCACGCATCCCAGAGACTGCCTCGGGGCACTGATGGCTGGTCCAGGGTGGGGTTGGTGATTGCTTGTTGCGTTTTGTTCTATTAGCTTCATACTAATGTTTTGTGCTGCTGATATCCATTTCTTCTTTCTCTTCTCCTTTATACTTTTTTTCCTCTACTCAATTTGGCTTCTACTGGTTTGACTCTACTCTCGTCTTGTTTCGTTATCTTGCTATGTGCGTCTTGTTTGCGTTTTCACGTTTTGCTTCGTTCCGTTTCGCTTCGTTCAGATACCTTGTTCGATATACAGACTGCAGTACCTGCGCAATTTGGATTTTACGTTTTTGGCTTTGATTCAACTTTTTTGACCCTGCTCTGGAACGCAATTTCGGCATGAGTGGGGGATACGAGACGGAAGCTCTCGGTAGCTAGCCTAGGGAGCAATCCCCTCCTAAGGGGGGCACACCTGAGGTCAGACCTAAGTGGAAGAACATGGGCGTGGAAGAAGAGAGATGGCTTCTTGAGCATATGTGTATAGATAGTTTCCTAGGAGTTCATTAGCATTGAAATATCACTTCTCTTCATCGGCATTCCTTCCACCTTCTCATTTTCTACCTCGTTCAATGTGTGT